TTTTCATTGGAAGTTTTGACAAGTGCAATATTTTATATTATACCAAGTTAGGTTAGATGTTAACAATTATTTTATTCGCTTATCTACACCTGTAGTTAATTTATATAATATAATTTTTTTTAAATTTCGGTAGCATTATAATTTCCAATAATTTCATTGTAACGAGATATGAGCTATTAACGAACGTTTATTTTATTTTAATACAGGAAGTTAGTATTTTATTTTAAATATAATCGGGCTTGTTAATTGCAAACATTTTTAAAATGTGGGTCCCGTGCAGTGTCCCACTATTGTAATAATGTTACGAGTTATTTTTGGATCACGTTAATTATAAATATATAAAACATTTGAAATTAATACATCGATATTTTTTATTCAGTCCATCTTTTTAAAATATGCGTTAGCGAGTAGGTCGAGTAAAATTATCGTTGTGGAAAGTAGGACTTGACAAATGGATTCAATGTCGCCACATCACGCAAAAACGGCTTAACTAATTTTGACCAAATTTGGTACAGAAATAGAGCACTAACCATAGATGGCTTTTAAGAAAAAAAATGTAATGGTCCTTTAGAAAATAAAATTAAGAAGTACTTACAGAACAGCGCTCATGAGCTGTGAACCACCAATGAATTTAAAACAAACAAACCTGTGATGTAACCGCGAACATAAGAATACCCCCAATTCTCTTTTTAAGCGGTAGATTGGTTCCAAAAAAGAACCGTGTAAACGAAACCGGTGTAAAATAGAGTACAGTGCATATAAGAATATAGAAGAGCGGTGTTCGATACGAGCAATAAATTATATATAATAAATTCAAATATAACAATATTAATTTTTTTATTAAGTTTTTATTATTTATTTATTAATATTAATAACTAGTCGCTAATCTGAGTAAGTGATGTCGATTTAAAAATATTATAGTAAATAAATAATATTTAACAAAATAATTATCATTTATTTCTATGACTCCTTCTCAATGTTTGTACATTTCATTACTATAAAAGTATTGAGTTTTACTTGAGAAAAATAAACCGATTGTTTTAACCTTGTCATCGACTTTGCAAACTCGGCATTTTTTATTTTTGGCGAGTCAAGGAAGCAATGCTTCTGTGGTGACGACAGAAAACGCAGCAGTTTAACTGTACCATAAACTTTACCCATGAAAATAATGTTCCATTACATTCTACAACCTTCTTTCGTCGTTTAATGAGGCCATAGATGTCTTTTATGTTGAACTGTGTCGGCTTAATTTTAACATACGCAGAGTAACTCCTCGAGAGTCCTTCATTCTGTTATCACAGGATATGATTCACTCTGAACTCCTAGTCCTGGACCAAGGACAAACTACCACGACAGATACGTAGTTGCAAAATGTTATACAGTGCAGTCTCGCTATATGGCTTTTTTTTGCATAGTTCGAAGGGCGAGTTTTCATTCACGCGCTCTTCTATACTACTGATACTCTTTTATTATTATAATGCTCTCAATGTTTAGAAATTATATTTCTTGTATAATTATATACTTTCTTGTATAATTTATATACTTTCATATAATACTTTTTCAAATAACAACTTCAAATTTAGATATACTTTCGAATATTGTAATGTAGCAATTGTAGAAAATTATAAAAATTTCAAACTTTTCAATTTGGAAATTAAAAGATTTCAAATTTATAAATTTTTAAAACTTTAAACACGGTTTCAGAAATTTTCGTACGAAAACTCTGTAATAACTATATCTGTATAAAACTGAAAATCAAAATAACTCAGAAATTAAAGTGTATTTTAAAGAAACCCATGACGGTTCCATAACACTGCGAGTATCACAACCCCGATATATTGCCGTTTAAAAAGCGAAACACGCCCATTTCTTCTTCTGTTTAGATACGAAAACCCAGGTTGAACGCGTTAAGGTAAATGTCGGTAAATTAGGGAATAAACGGTTTGTTTCCACAGTCGATCAGTCGGAAAACCTATACACGTGGTTTTGGTATCATTTATTTCTATGACTCCTTCTCAATGTTTGTACATTTCATTACTATAAAAGTATTGAGTTTTACTTGAGAAAAATAAACCGATTGTTTTAACCTTGTCATCGACTTTGCAAACTCGGCATTTTTTATTTTTGGCGAGTCAAGGAAGCAATGCTTCTGTGGTGACGACAGAAAACGCAGCAGTTTAACTGTACCATAAACTTTACCCATGAAAATAATGTTCCATTACATTCTACAACCTTCTTTCGTCGTTTAATGAGGCCATAGATGTCTTTTATGTTGAACTGTGTCGGCTTAATTTTAACATACGCAGAGTAACTCCTCGAGAGTCCTTCATTCTGTTATCACAGGATATGATTCACTCTGAACTCCTAGTCCTGGACCAAGGACAAACTACCACGACAGATACGTAGTTGCAAAATGTTATACAGTGCAGTCTCGCTATATGGCTTTTTTTTGCATAGTTCGAAGGGCGAGTTTTCATTCACGCGCTCTTCTATACTACTGATACTCTTTTATTATTATAATGCTCTCAATGTTTAGAAATTATATTTCTTGTATAATTATATACTTTCTTGTATAATTTATATACTTTCATATAATACTTTTTCAAATAACAACTTCAAATTTAGATATACTTTCGAATATTGTAATGTAGCAATTGTAGAAAATTATAAAAATTTCAAACTTTTCAATTTGGAAATTAAAAGATTTCAAATTTATAAATTTTTAAAACTTTAAACACGGTTTCAGAAATTTTCGTACGAAAACTCTGTAATAACTATATCTGTATAAAACTGAAAATCAAAATAACTCAGAAATTAAAGTGTATTTTAAAGAAACCCATGACGGTTCCATAACACTGCGAGTATCACAACCCCGATATATTGCCGTTTAAAAAGCGAAACACGCCCATTTCTTCTTCTGTTTAGATACGAAAACCCAGGTTGAACGCGTTAAGGTAAATGTCGGTAAATTAGGGAATAAACGGTTTGTTTCCACAGTCGATCAGTCGGAAAACCTATACACGTGGTTTTGGTACAAACAGCATCTGTATCGCCGACAGTAAAGTAACATAAGAGCGCATTTAAAATAAGCACAGGCAAAAATAATTTAGCTTTTTAATTTGGCTTTTTCATCAGTCTAATTAAGAGCTCGCATTCGTATTATTTAAAATGCTTTCACGGAGTGTGTTATAAACTGCAGACCTTCGATTTTGACAAAGAACCAGTTTTCTGTGGGTGTATACACCGTAAAGAATTGCGAAGTGGAGCACGAAGGGCGAAACGCGAAAATTTGTGCAGAGTACGCAATTCATGATGAAGAATTCTGTTTAAAAAAATATTTATATTTTTCCAGGTGATGGAAGAAGTTGAAGACTGTTAAGGATATTTTCAGAGTGCATTATGAATATAATATAGGCCATGTAAATACATCCGTAGATTGCATAATACATATATCGGTGGCCATATAACGAGAATCTTCTTTAGTTACAAGATGCCCTAATTGCCTTAATACTTATGAAGATACAAAAATAATTTGGTGAAATATTATTGTACTTCTCCGAGGAAATTAGAGCATAGGGTTGAAGGTTATTTCAAGGTCATTTTCCTGTACTTCTATTTTGCAAAAAAAATTTGTTTAAATATTTTGGTGCACCTAACGGACTATATAATAGCTACGTAATGAAGTTAATTATTTTTTTTGAATAAATTGCCAACGTTAATTTAGATCTCGGAGATGTTTATTTAAAATTTATGCAATAGTGATCTTGTCAAATTTTTGCAAATTAATTGTATTGGGTAGAACAGTGAATATTTAAATAAATGGTTTCAGGAAAGCATAAATCCAATCAAGGGTTAATAACCATATCTGTATAGTACAATTAACGTGCACTGATTATCGATCGACAGAATATAGAAAACACGTGGAGAGAGCAAGGAACTTTCAAACGTTTTGGCAACGACACGTTCCTGGACAATTTATTAATTAAGAGCTGTAATTATGAGATTATTCGGGGATCAGTTGCTCACAAAACGTAGGCAAGAGTGGAGCACAAACCCGACAATCACGTTTCGAGAAATGGCGTGCGCAAAACTTGGGATACATATGTATACTGATCATTGATCAATAAGTCCACAGAGCAGTAGCGTACCAACGCAAGGGTTCTCGACATAATTTCAAAATTTTATATTCTCTTATTGCGTTAATTTTAATTCTCTAAGTTTCACATCGCTTTCATAACTGTATTTAAATAATATATCAAATAGTATTTAAATTGCATAATAGTATTAAATATAATACTTCATCATTTATCGAGGTGAGTTCGTATATTTTTATCACCTTCAAATCAATCATTCTTTGCATACTTATGTTATAGTTAATCATTTTAATAATACATTAAATTACTTTTTAAAAATTTGTTTAATTCATATAGAGTCATATAGAGACATATAGAGACATATAAAGTCATATAAAGATAGTATCATAATAGCAGTAAATTACTATTTGTTGAACTAATGTAAGATAAAATAGTATGAATAATTTATTCATTTAACAATGTCATTTTTAATGAAAAAAATGTTAACGTGTTTACAATATAATAAATTATTTTTTGATGAGATGTTAACACTGCACTTGTTCAATTGTATATATTGTATGAAAATAAGATATAGAAAAGTGTGTGAATTTAATATGACAAGAATATGTAAATATGTATATTACTTTAACTTACTTATTTTTATAATTTAAATCAAATCTCTGCAAGGATAATTTTTATAAAGTTAGAAATAAAAATGATCTATATAACTTGCAATTTACTTATTTTAAATCTATAGCAATAAAACAAAAAGCTCTCAAAAGAATTAATTACATATAAGAAAAAAAGAAAATGTCTACATATCTGGGTGCTAAAGTATAGAATCTAATATGTTGTTCTTATTATATTATTCTTAAAGAAATTAAATACTAATAACTATTATAAAAAATTAAAAACTAATACCAAAAATTATCTTCTAAAATATCTCCACAGCTTGTTGAACTATAAAAAGAAATTGGTAATATCAAATGTAAAAACATAAGGAGCTGAATAGACGAGATAAAACAAGATGAATTAATTTTAATAATTTCAAGAAATGACGGTATAATTAATTTTAACTTAAATGTCACTAAACAATTGTGATTTTTTGAAACTTCAAGCGGCGGAATTTTGAATATAATTTAACACGGTATACTTAAGCGTGTGGTGAAAGGGAAAAAGTTTCGATATCGATGTAGATAATAATAGCAAATAATTTGTTACACCACTGTTTCAGGATGTTTCCTCGACTATACAGCACATGTGCAGAACGTTTAGCTATAGTACACTGGTCTCCGTGACGCCATTGGAGTGCCAAGGTCAAACATAACCCGCAAATATGATTCCCCATCCTTTAATTTTTTTTTAGAATTTTTATTTTTTTTAAATATATTTCGGCGATTGTTTTTTCATCGAATATCCATTTCAGGAAAATTGAACGTGCAAGCGAATTGGCCGATTGCGAATAAAACGTTTACTGCGTGCCGTAAATTTCCTCGAAATGTGTGGGTCTAAACAAACATATCATGCTATTTAATATTTGGAACAATTTTATACAGGAAAAATAGAGAAAAGAAAGTTGCTGTTTCACAGTTATATTAGATATATATGTATAATGTAATATTATTGTTTGTTGATTGATGCAGTATAACTACAAAACACGAAAGCATTTATTTTGTTCATAATACTGCGTGAATATTATCTTAACAAGAGAACAAAAATTATTCACGAAAGTAATATAAAAAACGTAAAATTAATTTCATGAGATAATTTTAATTTCGAATTGAAATGAGCGATTAATTTTTCAGACGGTGCTCCTCAAATATTGATGTTCAGATCAACTAGCCAGAAAGGTAATTTATAATGCATTACTTTTGTAAAGTTTTAAAATCCTATGTTCCAAAATAATATTCCAAAATTCTAAACTGTATAAGTTTGAAAATTCAAAAATCTCGAAGATTAGAAATTATAAAATTTTAGTTTTTAAATTCCAGTGTCCAAAAGTCTCAGTTGTGAAATTAGATAATTCCTAAATTTCAGGGATTCAAAATTGCAATATTAAAAAGTTCACAGATTCAAAAGTTCAAAAATCTCTAAATTTCACTGCCCTAAAGTTGAAATCTTCCAAATTTGTAAAACTGAAAATTCGAAGGGAGAAAGTTGAAAAATGTGTAAATTCTAGGAATTAAAAGTCCCAAAGTCCCAAAGTTCAAAAATTAAAAAATTTGAAAATTCCAAAAACTCCAAATTTTAGGATTCCAAAATAAAAAATTTCGAAACTTCTCAATTTCAATTTCCTCAGTGTTCCAAAATTGTGAAGTATCAATATTCCAAAGTATAAAATTCAAAAACTGAAAAATCTCAAAGTTGAGTCGTAAAGTTGTAAAATTCAAAAATTCCAAAATTCAATGATGCAAAAATTCTAAAATATCAAGTTTCAAAATATGAAAAATTAGTGCTCGACGAAGAAGCACACAGTTCCTTAGTACTGGTTCATTGTACTTTGTATCTGACAATGGTCCAATATCGAATACATCCACACATCTAAAACAAAATGAAGTCACCTCTGTGTTAGTAGTTCGCTTCGCACGTAGAAGTTGAAGTGATCCTTCTGCCCGAATTCAGCACCAAGAACGTCCATCAGAACTAATTCTATTGATCTTGGACTTGTCAGGCCATATATCACGTTGTCCTTTGGAAGTAGTCCATTTCCAATATTTTTTTAATACTAAACGTAGTTTAATTCTTCTTCTAAATAACATCCGTAATTCCTTCGTTCGAAAAAATATGTATACCGTTCTTTTCAATAAACGTTCAAACAGAAAAATTGTCGTTTGTAAATATCAGAAATGAACTGATTAGTATTCGACACGTGTTCGGTTTTCATGGTTGATGCACTGCGTCTAATCTTAGTTAAATAACTCGTTACGAGTGGGACACTCAAGTATGTACTTCGTTAAAGTCCATTAAATGGATACAGTAAAGTCTGGACATAAGCGAATCTCTCGGGTCTGAACTGTCGCTTACATTGTGCAGTTCCGACACTGACCGAAGTTTGCCGAACGTAGAAAAGAATGCGGCCGACGGAAACGTTCGAAAGAGCGAATTTAAATAAATAGTAGCATAACAGTAGGACAATTCTATTGTAAGAAATAACTCCTTCATTTTTTATTTTTTTTACAGAAACTATTACTAACATATTTGTGACATTTTCCTGATTAAAATGAGACCAAACACGGTATGATTTCAATCATATTTAATCGTAGATTTAAGAGTTTCCATTACGTCGAGATTTTGCTGTAGTAAGATTCGCAGTGAACGGACGAACAGTGACATGTCGGGTAATTTCGTTTTTCTTCGGTGCTATTCGGATAATCACGTGATTTGACAGTAAAAATCGTAAACGATGGCTTAAGTGTCTAAATGTGGTTGAGAAAAGTGATTGAGGTTTTACAACTTCAAATTGACTCGATTATTCAAATCTCGAAATAAGTGAATCTCTCGACACCGAACTTCCGCTTATATCGCGTAGTTCCGACACTGAACGAAGTTTTCCGAATGTAGAAAAGTAGGTGAGCGACGGAAACGTCCGAACGTAAACAAACAATAACGTATCGATGGAACAATCCTAATGAGTAAATTTTAATTATAATTCGATACACATTTAATTGTAATTCTGTTTCATTTGTATCGAACACTGCACTTTAACAAATTTTTACAAGAAAATAACATGTAAAATTAATGTAGTAAATATGTTGTAATATAAGAGTAGTTTAATAAATATGTGATAACAGACAAAAATATAACAATCTTATATTTTTGTTTAAATATAAATAACTGAAAGTCACCTTGACATCGTGCAAAATAACGCAACATAAAAAATTAATATACGTCATCGTGTTGCTCATAAAATGAAGCATATCTTTTCCCCATTTTAATTTTTTGAAATTCTCACTATATACGAAAAAAATTTTGAATTATATGATCACGAACACCGTGTATTTAACAGTCGCAATTTTGAAGCAAATTGATTCAATGGTTTTTGACACATTTCTGGTACTAGTTTTAAAAATGTCTCGAGAAATATGCATTTTTATACGTTCTGATTAATGCAAGGTAACAGTTTTTTAAATTTATACTTACATTCTAGCACAATCTCAGGGGTTCTCAAATAAAATGTCAGATTTAAACTGTTTACAATGTTTTTACATATTCCAATATGAAATTATAAATTATTATAAATTATCAGACTGTACAAATTATGAAATTTTGAAACGAAACAAATTACAAAAATATAAAATTATGCGATTGTAAAAATGACAAAATTTTAAACTGTAAAAATTGTAACATCACAAAATTGTGAAAGTTATAAAATTGCTAAAATTATAGAATTATAAGATTGTAAAAATGATAAAATTTTACACTGTAAAAATTGTAAAATCACAAAATTATAAAGTTGCTAAAATTATAGAATTATGAAATTGTAAAAATGATAAAATGATAAAATTTAAAAACTGTAAAAATTGTAAAATCATAAAATTATGAAAGTGATAAAAATGATACAATTTATAAAAGTTATAAAATTATAAAACTGCCAAAATTAAAAACTTATAAAATTGTAAAAATTCTAAAATGATCAAATTTTAGAACTATGAAAATAGCAAAATCACAAAATTACGAAAGTGATAAAATTATACAATCTATAAAAGTTACAAAATTGCTAAAATAATAAGATCAAAGACTTGTAAAAATTATAAAAATACATTTTTAAAAAATTAGTGTAATTAAATAGAGGTTCCATATTTCTATTTCTATATAAAAATAATTACATCAGAACACTACGTTGTTTAGATTCCATAATACTGTGTGAATATCATAAATACCTCTGTAATGTTTTGATACTGATTAATTAACGAGCCAGTTATGGGAATGTTTTACTTTTTGCGAATTTATCATGGTTTTACTGTCAAGTTTTTTAGCTAGCCAAGCTGTTGTATATTTTCGTTTGAAAGGAGCACTTCCCCTGTTACGGTCACTGAAAAGATTTTAATTAGAACGTTGCCTATATGGTTGACCTCGATGATGTTTTTTCAAATGCATCACCTAGCTCGTTCCTCTATAGACCTTATTATTTTTTATTTTGTAAGTAACAATTCTATTTTTCCTTCTGGTATTTTACATTTTCTATAAATTTGGATGTTGTGCATCATCTGCGATTTTATGTTTTTGTAGGTAAAAATTTTGCGACATGAAACGATATATCAAAAATGATCGGTGAAAATTTTTATTGAGATGGGTTAAGAGATTTTGGAACTCGTAAATTTGAAAATTTGGTACTTATGGCAGATGGGGTATTTAGGTCTTTAGAAATATTAGAATTTCAAAATTTTTGAATCTTTGAATTTCAGAATTTTTAAATTTGGTAATTATGGCAGTTGGAGTATTAAGGTCTTTGGAAATATTAGAACTTTTGAATTTCAGGATTTCAGAATTTTGAAATTTCAAAATTTGGTAATTTGGTAATTTGCGAATTTGGGGATTTGCGGATTAGGTAATTTGAGTACTTGGAAATTTAGTAATTTGGTGATTTGAAAATTTGGTGATTTCTAATTTGATGGTTTGGAATTTGATAATTTAGTAATTTAGTAATTAGTAATGTGGAAGTTTGAAAATTGAAAATTTTGTTAATTTGCTAATTTTTTATTTTGAGAATTGAAAATTTTGGTCGTTTGGAAATATGGAAATTTGATAATGTTCCAATTAATTTGGTAAACAAATTTGATATTCTAATAATTTAGAAATACAGTAACTCAGAAATTTAAGAATTTAAGAATTTATTTACTTAAAAATATTAATATTTAAAAATTAAGAGAATTGAAATATAGGAATTGAAAAATGTGCAACAGTACAAGTAGTGAAAATTTATGAATTTAGCGAATAATTAATTGCAAAATTTAAGAATCTAAAAATTTTGTAATGCAGAAATCAAAATTACTCTTCTCTTTCTCTTAAATAAAACAGAATAAATCACACCCATTATTTGAATATACTTTAACATTATTTGATTTTCTTAGAATATACCTACCAAGAAAAATGATTAATTACAATACTTTCCTCGATTTAACATTCCAAAGGAATCACTTTTTTATTGTCCTTGACACACCTTCGTAAGTCGTACCCAAACATAAATTTACTATGTTTTCATTTCGGTGATTATGAGCAGGCGATGTCTGCTAGGGTGGGGATTACTAGCATAGATATCAAACTTTTTCCCTACTGAATTCGCTTCTCCTTGCCTCCGCTTCTTTTGAAACACGGAACGTTATAGAAATGGTTTGGGTATGCCATATTCAGCGTGACAAGTGAGGGTCGAAAATATGAATTTTATACGAATATGGAGGTTAAATGCTTGAAAATTTAAAAATATGGATACGGTAATTTGAGAACTTATTGCTTTATAGACGAAAGAACTAAGAAATACAGAAATTTATAAATTTACCAAATTGAGGAATTTGCAAGTCTACAAATAAAGAAATGATCAAATCCAAGAATCCAGAAAAATCTAGAAAGCACAGAAATTTGAAAAAAGGTTGAGAAAATTTAATAACGCTATAGCAGAAATTTCTAGACGAGGTGATTAAGAATTTTCAAGTTTATAACACTTGCTCGTCGAAAAGGAAAAACAAGTGGTGGGAGGCTCCTCGTCCTCCAAAGGAATAGGTAGCTCTCCTTGCGGTACAGAATCTATTTTCCTCTGTAATGGAATTTCTCGATTTCATTATCGGTACGCATTCATAAAAATCTCGAAAAGCGGCCGCATTACTCTTCATTTAACCTTCTAAAAACAATGTAACCATTTGCAACATTTGTCGGTGAAAAATGGTGCGTGATTTGAAGTGACACTCACTGTATATCAAGCGGTAGATATTCGCGGTATATACGTCTGTCGTCGATAAAGTTCGTAGTAACTCGGTTGCGCGGTCTTCTCTTACAGCGAAAGGGTGCCGGAATCGAAGGGGTGCCGAACGCCTCCGAACGGCCACGAGAGTATCCGAAGCTGAGCCGAACGTTGGAAACTGAACGGCGACGACATCATGTCTGCGGGGTTCGACCTCCGCGAAGCTATGATCGATACTCGAACTACGTTATTATTAATTAACCATTGTTAATCAATTACTCCCATCCTTCGTAAACAGTGCCCACTCCGCGGTGATGTGACGGAACCGATAAAACCGAATTAGAAAAAAAAGAACAGTGTGAGTGATCGGTGCACGCGAGCCCGCATCCCGAGGAACGTGAAAAATCCTTGCGTCGGTACAGGAAGGCATGTGTACACTCGGGTGCAACGTAGGCTTCCTTTGGATGAGAACACATATGTAAACCTGACACTATTTGAATTTATAAATTTTCAGTTTCTAGGCCATCAAAACCCGGAATATTCGAATTATCAAATTCTCAAATTTTATAGTTTTCGAATTTTCAAATTTTTATATTGATAAATTTTGGAATTTTGGAATTTTTATATTTTTTAGCGGTCGAGTCTTTTCTACGAATTCACGAATTCCAAAGTTCATGGGATCTTCGAATTTTTAAGTTTCCAAATTTCTATATTCTCAAATTTTTAAATATCACAATGTTGACATTTTCCACTTTCTTAAATTCGCAAACTTCCATATCCCAAAATTTCTAAATTCTCACAGTTCTAATTCTTCAAATCCCCAAATCTCTAGATCCTTAAATTTCAAACATAAGAATCTGTAGACCTTCAAATCCAAAGGTCCCCAATTCTGAGTCCCAAAATTCCTAGATACAAACATTTCTAGATCACCAAATTTCTATATTTCTAAATTGCCAAATTTCAAAACTTTCATATTTGTAGAGTTCTAGATATCCAAATTTTAAAATGGAATTCCCTAGACCCTCAAATTTCTAGATCTTGAAATTCCCAAATCCCCATATTTGAAGAATTTAAAATCCCCAAATCTCTAAATATTCGAATACCTATTTTCTAAAACTACTGATAATTCAAGTTCCTAGATCCCCAAATGTGTGGACCCTTAAATCCTTAGATGTACAAATTACTATATCTAACTTGTATATTAATAAACTTCCTATTTTCAAATTTTCTAGTTCCTGTTCCCATATTTCACAATTGTCAAATCTTTAGATTATTAAAATTTTCAAATCACTAGATTACTATATCCCCAGATTCTTAAAACATACAGTTCTACATTATCTGACTTTCACATTCCCCAATTTTGAAATTGTCTACTTCTTAAATATCTCAAATTATCACACTCCCAGATTATTAAAAATCTACATTTCTCTATCTAAAAATCCCTAGATTTATTAATTCTTAGATGAAATATCCCTAGGCTCACGTATTTATAATTGCGTATACCCCAGTGCTTCTACATTTTTAGATTCTAAAATTCCTAGATTCACGTATTCGTGAATTTCGAACTCGCCCGAAATTTTCTAAAATCCCTAGAAACTATCGAATGCAAAGCTGTTTCCTCGCTGACTATCATTCTTCCTCCAGAGAAGTCACAGTTGCTTTCGACTGTACACTCGGGTGTAACGTAGCCTTCTGTTGATAACTACTTACATTTAAAAATTTTATAATTCTCATATTCCCATTTTCATATTTCCAAACTTCCAAACGTTTCAAGTCTTTCAATTTTTAAAATTTCGAACTACAAATCCTCATATTTAAAATCCTTAAACTTAAAAATTTCCTGAATTCCGAAATTTTTAAGTCTCCACGTGTGGATTTTTCAGCTCCCAAATTCACAAATTTCCCTATTCTTAAATTTCTATGTCTTGTCAAATCCCTAGATTCCTAAATTGCAAGATTTTTAAATACCTATCTCTCCACAGTCTTATATTCTAAATTCCCAGATTACCAAATCTCTAAATTTTCAAGTTTCAAAGCGTTTAAATATCTATGTCCCTATGTTCTTAAATCACTATATTCCTAGGGCCCCTAAATTATAAGTTCTCAACTCTCTAGCTTTACAAATTCCTATATTCCTAAATTTCTGGATCACCAAATCCCTAGATCCTCAAATTTCAGCTCCACAAATTTCTGTATCCCTACATTTCTGGACCATCAACTCCCTAGATTCCCCAAATTCTCTAAATCCTCAAATTCCTTAGCTCTCAAATTTCTGTGTCCTCAAATTCCTGGATCACCAAATCCCTTAGTTCTCAAATTTCAGCTCTATAAAAATCTGTATCCTTAAATTTCTGAACTACCAACTCCCTAGATTCCCCAAATTCTCTAGAACCTCAAATTCCTTAGCTCTCAAATATCTGTGTCCTCAAATTTCTGGATCACCAAATCCCTTAGTTCTCAAATTTCAGCTCTATAAAAATCTGTATCCTTAAATTTCTGAACCACCAGCTCTCTAGATTCTCTAAATTCCCTAGATCCTCAAAGTCCTTAGCTCTCAAATTTCTGTATCCTCAAATTCACGAAATCCCTAGATGCTCAAATTCCTTAGTTCTCAAATTTCAGCTCCACAAATTTCTAAATTACCAAATCCCCAGATTCATGTTCCCATAAATTTCCAAATCTCAAAGTCACTAGATCCCTAATTCATCCGAAATTTTGGAGATTTCTAAAAGTCCCTAGAAATTCGCGCGGGGGTCCTTTTCCCTACTGTCACATTCTCTCTGGGGAAGCCAGATTTGTTCCCGACTGTACATACGTATAAACAAGCTGTGTACGGTTGTGTAGCATTCCCGGTGCAGTTCGTAGTCGCGTTCTCTGGCTTGGTCAGTTTACATCCGCACGGATTTTACCCTCCTCCTTCCTGCGCCGTGTACGCAACGTCTCCGTCCCCGTTCGTCCGGCAGTCGAGCACAGCGGGCGGAAAATATGCTCGGTATAGAAGCGGTAGCGGCATCGTTGTCGTGGTTGGTACTGGTGCTCGCGTCGGTGCTGCTGGTGGTGCTGGTGCTGGTGCTGAGGATGGTGTAGCGCGGTGCTGCCTCGACAGCGTTCAGTGCGGACGGTGGCTTTAGACTCGAAGCTGCGGAAGAAGGGCCGTGAGCTCGGCCGTGTTCCGATGGCCTGATATACAACACGGGACGCGTATATGAAGCTACACTGCCCTGACTCGTTGAGTGAGTAAATTACCAATTACCGGACACGCCAGAGAAAATACCATTCGCGCACGGTATTTTTATTTCGACGCGATGTCAACATTGACTCGTCCTTGTACGCGACATTCCGCGAATTTTCACGCGTGCCTGTGTCAAGGATGCGACGCTCGTTACGCAGCTCCTTGAAACACCGCCTTCTCGTAAATGGATATCCCTGTACGTCGCATTCTTTTTAATCGGTGCCTGTGTCTCTTCCTCTTTTTGTGTGACAGTGTCGGTCCAAGATCGAGGTGACGTGATTCTGTGCTTTCGCGATTCGCTCGGCGGAGGATGTGACCCGTGATGCTACCAGGGTGGGTTCAATTCTTTCCACTCAGGCTACGGTGCAGGCGTTTTAGAACCGAAGCTATATTAGAAAAAGAAAACGAGAAAGTTCCGACCGTTCAGGATTCGTTCGAAAACGCATCCACTGTAGCCTATTTATTTGCGACTTTTTTAATAAACAGTGATGTAAGATAAAGTTCTCGAATTTATATAGACAATCTTTCTTGATCAAGATAAAATTCCACTTGTGCTTATAGTTCCTTTTCGTACATTTGCAACTGCACAAGAATTGTAGATAATACGGTATGAAGAGGCCGCAATAAATATCGATCACGTATTCCGATGGTGAACGAAAGCTTTTAAGAAAGTGAACCGGGTCACGGTGCAGTTATCCTGTACGAATATTTTCGAAACTTGCAAGACATCGAGATTAGAAAATGCGTTATACGCTTTTCTTGCAAAACGTGAAATTTTCATTGATTTTGCGCGATCTATTTTCGAATTATTCTCATTATGATATATCGAAGAAACTATGCGAAGTTCTAGTCGAAACAACTTTCTGCTTGTTTGATTTTCAAAAGTAAAATCAGTTCATTGTCGTGTGTATTTGATATCGACATTGCTATAGTAACGATTCAACGAAAGTCGAACGGTACGAATGTACTTCCGTATTATCGAACTACACCCTCCCTTGATTCTCTGCGATTATTTTTCTTCTGTCTTTATTTCTGAACTTTCGTCAAATAATTAATTAGATGAGAGTATGTAGACAGTAAATGAGGTTGAAATTAAGATTTGGAAATAGATCATTCAGGTGCTTTATGTTGTGGAATCTTGTTATATGGCTTGATGGAGCTGCACGGTAGAACATATTGTGAAAAAGGACGTGTAAATGGAACTCATTTCGTGTAGCGCTTTATTGTTAAAGAAATGCCAGCAATTTGTCACTGACAGTTTGAAATGTGTAGACTTGAAGAAGTGAATATTTGTACGTTTGTAAATTTGAAATTTGGTAGTCTTAAATTTCTTATATGAAACATGAAGAATTTCTGAATTGAGAAATTTTTAAATTTACATTTGGTAATTTGTAGATTTAAAAATATCTAAATTTTTAATATATGCAATTTAATATATATTTAAATATTATAATATATATAATATTTATAAACATCTGAATATTTAATTTTGAAATATTTTACTTTCAAGAATCTAAACTTGTAAATTCAGAAATGAATTTTTTAGTGACATTTCTAAAATTCTAGATTTGCAAATTTCTGCCTAAATATTTATGTTTAGAAGAGTGAAAATTTGAAAGTAGGTACATTTCTAAATTTGAGAGTCCAGGAATCTGTAAATTTGGAATTTCCAAATTCCTAAATTTCCAAATCTGATTATACAGAATTTGTTAATATTTTAATTCTCAGGATTCAAAAGTTTTAAATTTGCAAAATTTACAAATGTTAAATTTTTATAATTTAAAGTTCAAAATTTGTGTAATTTGCAAATGTTAAATTTTTCTAATTTAAAGTTCAAAATTTGTATATTTTGCAAATGTTAAATTTTTATAATTCAAAGTTCAAAATTTGCATAATTTGAAAATGTTAAATTTTTATAATTTAAAGTTCAAAATTTGTATAATTTGAAAATGTTAAATTTCTACATTTTTAACTTCAGAAATCAGAAATCTTCAAGTTTAAGTATTTGTAAACTTAAAAACATCCAATTTTTGTGATTTTAAGATTTGTAATCCCTAAATTGCTGATTTCCAAACTCAGAAGCCAGTAAATATAAAAATGTCTACATTTTTAAAGGCAAAAGTTTTAAGCAGATATGCATGAAAGTAAGTGGGAAAACTCAAGAGAAAACTCGTTCAACAGGCTACATAAAAGGCAGCCATATAATAAGACTGCACTACGCCTTAATAACATTCATTTTCGTTCATAACGAAAATTGTAAAAATTTGTAATATCACTGAATATATTATTCTACAAAGTTACCAACGTGAAATAAGAAATTCTCCTTAATCTATTTATTACTAAAAGACACTTTAATTACTAGATAATTCAGAAAATAGAAAGATATCGAATAATTATGCTAATTAAAAGGTCCCACCTTAATTATTCATGAATTTTTATGCAGTGTGCATAGAAAATGATCAACAAGTTAATTTAATCGAATAATCAGGAACGCATAAGTAGACATGAAGGACATTTGAAATTTTTTTCTTAACTGAATAATCATGTCAATATTTGTTATTATATAGAGCTCTATTATTAATTATCTTAATGCAGCAATTATTAAAAGGTGACTTGAGTTGGTCAAAAAGTTTCGTTGTATTTCAAATAAATATTCAATTTATAAATACACAATTATTAATTATTTTTTTAATGTGTAAGAATTATTATTAATCAAGACTTTTAATAAGCATGCTTGCTGATCTGTGGATCGTTGTTCATAGAAATAGTTTTCACAGAAAATTTCGTAAACCGAAATTGACGTAATCATTTAGTGCAACCTCGCATGTAGCGTACGTCTTTTAAAAGCTTTGTTTTTTAAGAAGATATTCAATTACTGATCTTGCATATGTAGCTACATATGTATATATATGTATATATAATATGTAGTATCTTATTATACCAGATATTAGTTGTTTTTTCAATTTATAAACAGAATTGTTGATCAAGACTTTCATTTAATCATTACTGATCATCTAACAGTGCTTGCTCTTCTAGAACAAGGATCATTATTCGTAGAAATATTTTCAACAAAAAATTTCGCAAAACCAAAATTCTTGCGATCATTTAGTACCATCTCACGTACACTATTCATGTCTTTTTCCAATTTAAACAATGTTCTACCTTTTTGAAAATGATATAATATTTCCAAAACCAGACTTTGTGTCTTCCGTTTTTAACTATTTGTAACAGATGAAACACTCCATTGTACTCGGCACTCTTTTTTAAATAAGATACCCTGAAATGTAAGCTTCAAGGCCATGTATGCATTTGTTGAAAAAATGAAGTGTCGACACATAAATTGAATGAATGTCAACTACTGATAAAAATGATATAACTTTTTGGCCAGCGCAATATAAACAAAATTGTAATTTGTAAATATAAACATATCAGTTGTTGATGTATTTTCAAGGTTATTTCCCTGAATAAATTGCAAAAGTTGTTAGCTGTCACTCATTGTTCATTCAAGTATTAATAATAAAAAAGATGCGTAAAAATAAAAATTTGTACGTAATCTGATAGTGTGATTAGTTTATGGAAATAGTCTTGCTATGTAGACGGAGTTAAAGAAATATGCAAATTTTAATGTACGATATTTAAAAGTAAAATATTCATATACTGATTTATAATAATGATGTTAAGAAAGTTTGGATTTTCTTATAAACTTGCAGAATATTTGAGAGTCTCTCTGGAGGAATAAAACATATTAGCACTTACTTGAAATATAATGGAAACCATGTTCAATAATATATCATATCATATGATAATATGTATAATATGTATAACGCATACACATGTTATAGTGGCTTCCTATTATACTTATTGTTAGTTGCACCTCTGTCAATCAAATCATAAATAAAATATTTTATAAAAGAAGTTTCATATTGGTCATTGTTCCCTAATTTCAATGATCTTTAATTATTTTGTCAAAGTCATCACTCTAAACATCTTTTTTGTACCAATATTAGTATTCGGCTTTCGTTTCAGAAATACTCCCAGAAATAGTTTCACTGCGATAATTACTTACAAAAAGGTACGCTTCATCGATTGTAATGACCTTGAAATATGTTATCAAGGTCAACGCCCTGAGAAACTTTGCTTATACATACATAATCACCTCTCAGTCTTGGTTTCTAAGGTCTACTCAAAAAACTTTGATTACATTTATGTTGCGGGTATAGGTGTGTTTGCGTTATTAGGATACAAACATTATAATATAATGTGGGGTTTTTTATTACTAATATAATATAATTTTATTACAGGTTATAACATAATTATACGGTGATCTTATATAGCGTAATTTAAACTATTATATTAGTGTAACTTAATCTTAACTGAAGCACGAAGTGGCTTAATGTAAACTAACCTAACCTACACTGACTTAATCTAACTATGTACTTGTTTAATTTAGATTAACTCTGTACTAGATTAGTACATATAATCAAAAACTATACTATTATATCTGATATAACTGTACACTAGCTTAATCCAATTTAACTCCACATTAATTAAGTCCAACCTAATCCTATACTAGTTGAGTGTAATCTAACCTTATGTTAGTATCGTGTAACTTAATCCTGCACTACATTAGTGTAATCGAAACCTATACTAGTATATTTAATGTAACTCAACAGTAGTTAAATTAACCTAACACTAGGTTAATGTAACCTAACGCTGTACTAAATTAGTGTCATCAAAACCAACTCTAGTACATTTAATCTTATTCTAAAATAGCTTAATTTAATTTAACTCTACAATAGTTAAATCTAACCTAACCCCATACTAGGCTAATGTAATCTAATCCTACATTAGTATAATGTAACTTACCTCTGTGTTAGCTTAATCCACTGAACACGTACGCTAGTATAATCTTTTTTCTTTTTTTTCTTTACGGAAGAGAGAAATCTTTGATAGACAAGGTGGCCCAGGTAGTGTGAGATTCCCGCATCCGGGGCCCACGTGTGTGGACGGTTTCGGCGTAGACCCACTAAAACTCTTTCCCCTCCCACCCCGAAGGGTGGAGTTGCGGAATCCCGACGGGCACCTCTATCAGTTAGACATGAGGGACACCCGCATTAGGTCATCGCTTACACTCCAGGAAGCAAAGATTGGTACCCACTCTACTGCAAGTCGCGCTCTGCATACGGGGGAGGATGCTCGGTTTTGCCGCTCTTGGGGGAGTGAAAAGCGTCAAGTTCCTCGGAGGAAGTCTTTGCACTAGACGCTCAAACTTCCTACTTCAACCTGTCACTTGATCCCCGTTCTTCAGCTCAATCTTGAGCATGTCGTAATAAGACAACGACCTCCTCACCGCATCGGATCTCCGTACGAGCAGGTTTCATTACAATCTCTGCTCCCGAAACGCCAAATGAGCCCTTTGCTCTTGGTACAGTTGACTCCTTCCTCTCTCCTGCCGATCCCACTCGGTCCCCATTGTCGCCCCCTAATGGTGCCATGACCAGGCTGACGACTGGGTCCCTAGTTGAATCAACAGTTGATCAGAAGGGTGCTTTGCTCAATTGACCCCTCTCCCTCCTCTCCCCCGCTTAGTCGGTCCCCGTTTTGTGCCCCCTAATGGTGCTATGACCAGGCTGACATTAGTGTCATCAAAACCAACTCTAGTACATTTAATCTTATTCTAAAATAGCTTAATTTAATTTAACTCTACAATAGTTAAATCTAACCTAACCCCATACTAGGCTAATGTAATCTAATCCTACATTAGTATAATGTAACTTACCTCTGTGTTAGCTTAATCCACTGAACACGTACGCTAGTATAATCTTTTTTCTTTTTTTTCTTTACGGAAGAGAGAAATCTTTGATAGACAAGGTGGCCCAGGTAGTGTGAGATTCCCGCATCCGGGGCCCACGTGTGTGGACGGTTTCGGCGTAGACCCACTAAAACTCTTTCCCCTCCCACCCCGAAGGGTGGAGTTGCGGAATCCCGACGGGCACCTCTATCAGTTAGACATGAGGGACACCCGCATTAGGTCATCGCTTACACTCCAGGAAGCAAAGATTGGTACCCACTCTACTGCAAGTCGCGCTCTGCATACGGGGGAGGATGCTCGGTTTTGCCGCTCTTGGGGGAGTGAAAAGCGTCAAGTTCCTCGGAGGAAGTCTTTGCACTAGACGCTCAAACTTCCTACTTCAACCTGTCACTTGATCCCCGTTCTTCAGCTCAATCTTGAGCATGTCGTAATAAGACAACGACCTCCTCACCGCATCGGATCTCCGTACGAGCAGGTTTCATTACAATCTCTGCTCCCGAAACGCCAAATGAGCCCTTTGCTCTTGGTACAGTTGACTCCTTCCTCTCTCCTGCCGATCCCACTCGGTCCCCATTGTCGCCCCCTAATGGTGCCATGACCAGGCTGACGACTGAGTTCCTTGTTGAATCGACAACTGATCAGAAGGGTGGTTCGCCCTTTCGAGTCATTTTCCCCGCTGCTCCGCCCGCCATTGTCGCTGCTTCCATTTGTGCTCGTTCCTTGAGCGTCAACCGGAAGTTGCCAGTAGCGCTCCTGTTCCACAGGGATTGGAGCTTAAACCGCAGTGCAGCGGTGGAAAACGCCTCTGGTTCGAAAAAGTCCCGTTGACCCCGGGTAGTGATCCCGTAAGCCTTGGTTGATGGTCCCATTGACCTTGGTACAGTTTGACCTTTCTCCCTCCTCTCCCCCGCTTTGTCGGTCCCCGTTTTGTGCCCCCTACTGGTGCTATGACCAGGCTGGCACCGGTTTCCTCCTTTGCAGGCTTGAGTCGTTCGATCAGTCGTGTCTATGCTTCCCCGCCTCTTCCGCTCCGACTCTTCCTGTTCTCCCCCTCGTTGTCTTCTTGATTCGCCCTCTCAGCTTGCCATTTGAAGAACGCGCTATATCTCCGCCATCTTGCTTGCTGCCACATCCCTTCGCTTCACCCTTAAGGGCAACTCTCCATGCGTTTGCAGCGTCGAGTCGCGATTGCCCCTGCGACAAGTCGGGAAATGCAAAAAGGGTCGAGAGAGCCCGACCCCAACGATAAAACAGCGGAAGTCAACCATCACCATGGCCTGTCACAGTCATCAAACGACGCGATTGGAACCAAACGAAGACAGCAAACCCGAACCAGGCCCAGCCGAACAAGACCAGTTACCAGCGCAACCAGAACTGACCAGCAACCGGGAAACCATCCGACCAGAACCAGACAGCAGTGAGAACCAGCCAAACTGACCGACCAGAGGGATCGACTAATACTAGATGTACGAATAGAGGAGAAAACTGTGCCTGCACTCCTGGACACCGGAGCAGTCTCCTCGTACGTCGACCAGCATATTGCACGGATCTGTCGTGAAGCCGGCTGAAGAAAACGTCGCCACAACCTAGTGACCGCCTTGGCCAACGGGGAGAGCATACCGGCCAAGAGCAGCTACCAGGGAGAGGTCATCATCCACGGCAAAATCATCTATTCTACGAAATGCCAAACCTGGCTTACAGCATGTAATTGGGAATGGATATCCTCCGCAAGCTACAACTCAAGGTCTAGTTACATGACCAGCCCGTCACAGACTGCGGAAGAGAGCACGGACCACCTACAGCTCTAGAAACCCACACCATCACAGTGGCCAGTTGGGTTGACCGAAGCCTCACCTTTACAACAGAAACGGCTGGACCAGCTTATCACCCGGGAGAAGCGAAGATTCGAACACGTTAAGGGACCTATGCCTTCGATCCAGCATGAAATCCGATTAGAAGATCCTACGCCGATCAAGCAGCGTTATCGACCCCGCAACCCCATCATGCAACACCTGATCGACGCGGAGATACAGAAGATGCTAGCCGAAGGGGTCATTCAGCCGTCCAGTAGCCCGTGGAGCTCACCGATCATAATGGCCAAGAAGAAGAACGGAGAGTACCGTTTCTCCGTAGATTTCCGTCGACTAAACAGCGTCATCCGAAAAGACGCCTACCCGTTACCGCAAGTGAACGCAACACTGGACAAGTTGCGAGGGACAAAGTACCTGTCAACCATTGACCTGAAGAACGGGTATTGGCGAGTACCGCTCACACCAGCAAGCTAACCGCTAACCACCTTCACCGTTCCCGGCCGTGGACTCATGGAGTTCACGGTGATGCCCTTTGGACTCCATTCCGCATCCTCCACCTTCCAAAGGCTCCTCGCGTAATTACTCTTGAAATGACTCCCCATGCATTCGCTTACCTGGACGACATTGTGGTCGTCACGACCACCTTCGAGGATCACCTCTGAGTCCTGACCAAGGTATTCCACCGGCTACGAGCCGCGAAACTGCGTCCAAATTGGGAGAAGTACCAGTTCGCGAGGATAAGCTTGAAATACCTTGGACACCTGGTTGACCAGAAAAAAGTGAAAAATTGTACGAGCAGTTAATTTTTGGAAGAGGACGGACCAACTTCAGATCGAACTTGAAAAAATGATTTTTAATTACAGGAAGACGAATTTTTGTAATGAAACGTCGTGTATGTAATGTTTGTGTCGCACGCGTTCCATCATACAAGAATACATTTTATTCAGCTAATGTTTAAAATAAATAGATGCTATAACGGATGATCATCAAGAATACATACAATAAAGAATTGTTGAATAATCAATGTAAAGTTTGGCCACAATATTTCGTTTTGTTGTTTCTCTTCGCAAAAACATTTACGTTTACACTTTGACCTTGTACGGCGATCCAGGAATATGGTCATCACCCCACTTTACGATAACTATGTATTCTCCTCGTTCTCGAACCATATAATTTACGGTGTAATTATTGCGTCCCGTGTGCTTCACAAACACGTCGTCGCACGGTCCTTTAGGTCCATACACACCATCGTACAAAATGTTCTGGCCGGCATCGCTACAATTAACAGTGAACTGATTCTGTTTTCCCAAATATGCTTTCTTTAGACCCATTCCTTTGCTTGTAACTTTGCTAGTGTCAGATTTGAGCAGGGGTAAAATTGGCCCGGTTTGTTTCGACTTTGAAACTTTTTGAACAGTTTCGACGAGGACTTGATTCTTGTGCGCCTCTTTCTGCTAGATCCTGACCAGTACATGGAACCTTGAACGGTGAACCAACGATGTGGTATCCATTATACTTGATACTGATGTAATAATCACCAGGTACCAAAGGCGTGTACCTGATTTTATAATCCTCTTCAACTTCCATCGCAACTTTACTTGAGTCGTCTATGGTCACATTAAGTGCTCCACTTCCGGCGTTACAAGTGTCGATGATAAAGTCCGTTTTCTGGCCAGTTTTGATTTCCTTCAAACTGTTTCCATAGGCGTTTATTGCGGCTGGATCGGCATCGACTTTTCCCACTTTGATACGGAAGGGACTGCCAGTTATGTGAACACCATTGAACTTCATGTGAATATTATGAATGCCATTTTCTCGCACCATAAATCGCACGGAGTACGTGTCGGTGTCGATGGACTCAATGAAACAATCATCCTCTACTACGTTTGGTGATACGATCTTCGCGTTTAGTTCACCCCTGGCGCCATTTTTGCGAACGAGGAATGTTACTGGTTTGTCGGGCTGCACATCGTTTTCGAAAATTGCGTCACCTCGAGCTTATGGGCATCGCCCATCGCCTGCGATATATAAACCTTGTGCGGCGAATTGGGTATATGTTGATTGTTAAACTTCATTCCTATCCTCTAGTCACCAGGTTCAGACACGACGTAACTAACATAGCAACTGTCATCTTTGCGATCCTTGAAGTCGATCTGCGTCTTGCTAGGACCCTCCACCGACACGGCCAGAGTTCCAGCTTCCCTGGTCCAGATATTGAATTCGTAGGATTCTCCCTGTTCTAGTATAATCTAGCCTCACCCTACACTAGCTTAATCTGAATCTTCACTAGTTCAATCTAACCTAACCCTACACTACTATACTCTAACCTATCACTACATTAGTACAATCTAAGTTAAGGGGTAACACCACTCTAGGATTTTCAAAAAGAAGATTTTTTTTTGGCTAAAACGATATTTTAGGGTCTTAAGAACGGAATGCTGTTTGATTTATAGTATAAAACAAGTTTTAAATGGTTCAATTATCAATTTTGCCGCAGCGCCTCAGAGCGCGCACTGAGTACTCGCGCGGTATGCTGCAGTTCATCGCTTTCATATTATTGTTATCATTTAAAATAATAAGTTTACTTGTTTCCTACAAAACAAACAGAAGCATCCAGAAAGCTGGAGAAGGTAGTAAACACTGATCTGGATAGCCAAATGTATGGTACAGGCATTGCAGATTAGTGATGAACAGAGAATTTGAGGATTAAAATGTTCATAAAACTTCAAACATGTTTTTCTCGAAACCAGTTTCTTCATACTGGAAGGACGGATTTCTCGGTGATTATTGCATGAATCGAATTGAAATTTTTACAGTAGCTGCACAACAATATTGTCTTTGGAAGTACGTAGCCGTTTTTTGATTGAATGTAAACTTTTTTTTTTATAAACAATTTAGTCCTCATTTTTCAAGCAAAATGTCGATTCATTCCTTAAAAAACGCATAACTTCCACAAAAATTGATTAATCAAAAAACCCCTACGTACTCCCAAAGCTAATGGTATATAGATTATAAATCCTTTTGATTTTTTATCGCACGACTCATACATAACAAGAAATCTGTCCTCCCGTAGGGTTTATCCCACGACTCATACATAACAAGAAATCCATTCTCCCGTGGCGGTATTTTTCGAAAATGTGTTTCCGACGATGGGCTCTGTCGCCACCATTTTGTACGAAAATGACAATAAAAAAATATTTTTTTGTAGTTCAATATGTGTTAAATAAACCCTGTGAAAAGAAATTCTTTTCCGTTTGTCGTTCTTCCAAAATAAATTGTCAAAGTTAGGCCTCTTTTTCGGGCTCTAGAGTGGTGTTACCCCTTAAACTTACACTGGTATAATCTAGCCTAGTCCTACGCTAGTTTAATTTAACATAACCCCACAGTAGCTTAATCTGAATCTTCACTAGTTTAATCTAACCTAACCCTACACTACTATATTCTAACCTATCACTACATTAGTACAGTCTAAGTTAAACCTACACTAGCTTAATCTGAATTTTCACTAGTTTAACCTAACCTAATAAGTAGTACAATCTAACCTACCCGTACATTAGTGCAATCTAACCTAAACCTACACTAGCATAATATAACTGTAACTGACTATACACCGACCAAACCTAACCTTCATTACATTCTAAAACTATTCTATTCCTCAACTGACTTTAATCTTAATCTTACTCCAACTGATAAAAAAATTCATAAAAATTTAATTGAAAATCTTGATAGCTAGTTATTCATAATAAAGTAGTAATTATTAAGAATTTCATTTGATTAGGTTATTAAGTAATTTTACTTTTCTGTTATGAACTTATACTTATTATACCACTATCTTCCAGTATGGCGTACTATATTACTATAAATTTATAACTGTAGAATTTATGTCTTTTTAAAGAATATTCCTAGTACAACACCCAAGTGCGCTATATTTCAATATATCTCCATTATTATTCGTATGTCGCTATATAAACTCAGCCAAATGTGAATCCAGATGATGTCACATATGGTGTAGAAGATATATGATAGTGTAATAGCTCATATTGAAATACTGAGTGAATATTCTTCAAATAAAATAAAATCGATGATATAGTAGATGTACGATAACAGAATGTGACAGTCATAGTATAAATTAAAGTCTTCTGCAAGAGTCTTTGAAATTATGGTTGAGCTATGGTAATATATGTATAAGAAAGTTGCTCAGAATGTTTTCCTTGACAATATATTTCAAGATTAACAAAATTGGTGACAAATCCTTATGTTGGATAATAATTAATTATTAAGTAGATGAAGATTTGAATTAAGTTTGAATTAGAATACATGGGTAAGTTTAGTGCCATTATTTTGCGTTTGCAACCATTTTCTGCAATTTTTCCACTTCATTGGGGATAAATGTGAACAGGACTTTATTCTTCGAGAGATACTTTTAAACGTTTTGTAAAAGTCTTTTGTCATTATTTGTCAGCATTTGAAAATTTAGGTATTTGCAAAATTGAGAATTATGCATCCACAGATTTTGAAATGCGAGTATTTTGTGAAGGATTAAAAAATTTGAATGTTTAGGAATGTAGAGGCTTCATGATCTAATAATGTGAGATTTTATAAATTTACAAATTCAATAATTTTATAGATAAAAAATGATAAAATTCAAGGATTTGTAAATTTAGGAATTTAGAAAATTTGGTAATTTAGTAAATTGATGTTCAGGTAATTTCATAATTTTTCATAATTTGTAAAAAATTCAAAAATTTTCATAGTTTGAGTTGAAAAAGCTAACACTTCTATTAAAGATCTTCAGAGACAAATTTTTTTTTATATGGAAAAACCTGGTATGATTTTATAAAGTTTTTACTTCACGAGTTTTTTATTCAGTTATTTATTATCAAATAATTTCATAAATAGAATGAACAGTAATAAAATCGATCTTATGTCGGCCAGATTACAAATGTTAATAACTGACCATCATCATCATCAGCGCGATTTAACATTTCTACTAATATTTTTATGTATGATATCAACATTCAAATATATAATTTATTAAGGCAAATTGTATATTGCATTTGTTCGTAAATGAGTTTCCGCTGTATTTTATAAAAATGCATTTCTTAATATATAGGGTGTTTCATAACATGTCGGACCAAGATTACAAGATTTGTATCCCCATGAGAGGATACAAAAACATTGAAAACACAAACCGCAGATTTCGAACATGTTCCATGAAAATAAGCTGTCGAGAATTATTGAAACACAAAAGTTACGACATCCCTGAAGCAAAGCCAAATCAGACACATATTTAAACAAACTTTCTGCAGTGTTTTTGTGTCCTCTGTCTATTTCTGAAGTTGGTTTCGCATGTTATGAAGCACCTGTATAAGAAGCAGTACCATCATTTCAATTAAGGCGTTCGACCTCTGAATTTACTAGCATTTTACCATGGTTCAGTCACGCAGATGCCATGACGATAAAAATTCATTTTCTAAGGCGATAAAGTTATCCACCTGTTTGCGAACATCGTCTTTATATTGAATATGTATATTGAGAAAACCATATACATTAGCTAAAGCTGATGTTAATTAGTCCAATGTCAGAAGAGTACGTTGGTTAGGACGGTATTTCGCTTTGAAGATCAAGTGCCGTTTGTCTCACTCGAGAAGCAACATGGCGTCTAGTATTATCACGGAAGGAAATGACTTTGCTTTTGTTGTGTAAATTACAAATTTCTGTCGAAGTATCTGGTTCAAGTAATTCAAGCACTCTTCACAGCGTTCTTGCATGATCATCTGATTCAGTAGAAGTTCATAAAAAAAGTACCTTTTCATCTCATCGGACGGAGAAGAACAATTTATGGTTCATGGATGTTGCACCTTTCGTCGATGCAGACGATTGTTTGGGGTCTATCCACAACTTGCTGCGTGTAAAATTACTATAATTACCATTTTTCGTATCACGTGTCGATTTTCTATAAAAAAAACTCTCAGTGGTTCAAATCTGTCCACCATAATATGGTCCAGTGATGCGGCATCCATTTTGTTTTCCTCCTGCATCCTTATCTTGCGCAACCGATTGAAAACGGTGGTTTCAATCTCTGAAGTTATATTGCAAGCTGTTCTTGCGTCTTCGATGAATTTTTATATTGCAAATATCTTCACCAATTTACTCATAACTTCTAACTGCCATTAGCTACATAAGTTCGATTTCATGAAAATAATGCTCAAATATTTTACCGCAAAAAAAATGAAAGAAATAAACAAGTTAAATATATAAAGAATGTATTGAAACAGTGTTTATTTAATTATAAACTTGTGACCTGAAACAAATATTTCAAATTGTATTTCAGTCGACATAAAAAAGCATTAGTATTCTAATCAAGAAATATGTACTACGAAGAAGTACAGTTAAGAATATAAATTTTCTGAAAGCATTTTATTTCAGATATTTTAATAAAACCTGTCTTAATACTTCTCAAATATACTTGCCCGTTAATCTGATTATCCAGATTCTATATAGATATAGTTCCCGCCACACAAGATGAGTTGCGAAATGAATGCAGTATGCTACTGTTTGTATAACCGCATAGCCCATTTCCCTCTAACGCGATCGCGGAGATATGACTCGCGCATGTTTATCATTTACTAAAACGGTCACGTTTACTGTTCAGAGTTGAAAATTATACACGTGAATTTGATTAATTGTAGCAATACCATGACTACAACGGTATACGGACTTTTGTATTATTACGACCAAATGGTATTATTGACCGAAGCGGTTACAATATTAATCGGATTGCATGATAGGAGGACGTTAATGGCGGAGTCACGTGTATTCTCTTTAGATCCGAATGGTACTAATAAACTTGTGGTAACTCGGTACGAGATCTCTGCATTAAAGTACAGCAAAGCCTGGATTTAAGGAAAAATTATGTACATAATATATGGGAAAACAATCTGCACGATGTAAGTGAAAAAAAATATGCCCAACGCTGGTGAATAAACTCCTCAAAACGTCAGAATGTTCAACCGCTAAGAAATGTAATATGATCTGCGTATATCCGCGAGACAATACGCATATAAATATAAATCTGTTATTTCTGATATTTTCATTATAAAACTATTACTAGTGGATTTTTGACATTCTGCTGATTAAAACGATACTAAACACGATATACTTTGGACTATATTTACTATATTATCAATAAGTTTAGAACGCACAGGATAATAAGTGAAAAAGAAAGTCTGTGATTCTAACAATCGGAATAGATCAAAAGCTTGTATTGTTTACCATGCCAAAACGTTAACAACTTTTTTATTTTTAGTCCTCGTTTCCGTACAACCTTTTCCATAATATTCGTGACATTTTCCTGATTAAAATTAGACCAAACGTGACGTAATTTGGAGTATATTTACTTGTAATAACTTATAGTAATAAAATCCTCGTAATCATAACCATAGAAATCTGCGATTTCGATTGTCAAGATGTATCACGTGATTATCCGAATAGCACCGAATTACAACGAAATTACCCGACGTCATTTCTCGTCCGTTTACCACGGATCTTACTACAATAAAGTATCGATAAAAACAACTTAAAATTACCAGCAGATATTTTTCCGATTATGTCGTGTTTGGTCTCTTTTTAATCAGGAAAATGTAGAAAATATATTGGTGCAAGTTTCATAATAAAAAGTCAAAAATAAAGAAGTTCTACTGTTGCATTAAAATTCTTTCACCGACATGTTACGTTCGATCGTTTCCGCCGCTGGCTGTGCTTTTCTACGTTCGGGAATCTTCGATCAATGCCGGAACTCGCGGGGAAAGAAAGGGGCATGCTCCCTGATCCCATACTCTCCCGCAACTCTTCTTATGTGACGGAAACAGTTTACTTGTACGATTTCTGTAATCTGAAAGAGATAATTTGAAATTTTCAGTGGGCGTGCGGGGGTGACTGGAGTGATGGGATGGGGCCAGAGCCCCATGGAGTTCGGGTAGACCCGTCTCCGGCCCAACTCCCCAGCCCCCTCCGCCATCAATATCGTCACAGCTCCTGCCAGCGTCGCAGAGGGCCGCCTCGATCGCGATGGAGGCTTCTAACAATCAACAACAGAAGGAGAAGGAGCCACGCGTTCATAGGCCTTGCGCCTTCGACAAGGTACTTACATATAAGTATATTACACATATTATAATTATAAATTCATTTTATTTCACCTGCTGAATGTAGCATATGATAAACATACTACAACGTAGACTTCCTTCTATACAATTTTTGTAAATTTTTAAGATTCTCAACATTTTTGAATTTTTCAGTTCTTCAATTTTTGCATCAAATTTTGTACAGTTATAAATTTGAAAAATTTTAGTACTCCAAGTTCTCAAACTTTTATATTTCCAAATTTTCAAATTCCAAAATTTTGATATTCTCAGTTTTTCTAAGTTCTCACCCTGGATTCTTAAATTCTTAAATTTGGAAATTTTTATATTTTATAATTCTTCCATTCTGAGATCTTTAGTTCCGCAAATTCTTAAGTTCCTAATTTTCTAGATTTCAAGTCCCTAGGTTCCAAAATTCTTTAACCCTTAAATCCCTAGACCCTCAAATTCCTGGGTCCACAAATTTCTGAATTTCCAAATCTCATTCTTAAAATTCTAAATTCACAAATTTCTTTAGCTTCAAATTCTTAGATACTCAAATCCCTATTCATATATCTCCAAATTCCTAGATCGCAAATTGCTAGATCTTCCACTGTCTGTATTCCCAAATCGTTTCTTGTTTCCAAATTACCGAATCATTAAATCCCTAAATCCCCACATCTGTAGATGAAAATCCATGCTCTCAAATTCGCTAGATCTTAAAACATTTTTATAGTAAAAAATACAAAACCTTGATAAATGGCCAATTGGGGACTTGAAAAACTAAAGATTTAGAAATCTAATAAATTTACAAAATTTATAAATACATAAATTTCAACATTTTAGAGTTATAAATAGAGTCAGAGATAGAAATTTAGTAATTCGAAAATTTGAAAATATACATACATTCATGCAATATTTAAATCCATACTATATGTAAACTAAGAAGTTTCTGTGTTGACAATTTGTACTATTGATGATTACGTTTAACCGTCCCGCTCAAACCCATCACTACTCGCGTCTGCGCGTTCTGATTGGTCGGTGTTTTTCGTTAATATTTAAAAAACGATGCCTCAAGCCCTACTTTCGTAAAGGAAAGATTTGTTCAGAATCACTTCAGCTACCCTTTTCCGGGTTTTACTTAGTGTAGAATAAAATTGATATATGATGTCTGAAATGTACAACGATTTGTTTGCAGATGGAGGGGCTGGTGCGGGAGATGCAAGACCCTGAGAACGGGGTACCCGTGCGCAGCCAAAAACAATTTCTCACCTCGATCCCCTCAGCTTTCATGGGTGAGTGCCATCGGTACCTGCGTTGTGGAGTAAGCGTAAGCGGCCATCACGGCCAGGGCACTACAGTAGGCTGCCTGCGTGTTGCAGGTTACGACCTCATCGAGTGGCTGATGGAGCGGCTTTCCATCGAGGAATCAGGTACGACAACCTGCCAGATGCTGTTTACGAGGAAACGAATTTTATCATCAATTTTTTACCATCACCTTACGATACATAACCGTTCCTATTCGTGCTTTCCTTTACAATTTTTATGCAATGTTGCAAGGTTTCTGCATTTTTTGTGGGGGTGGGGAAATGGTGTACTCTTAAATAAGGCTACTTCTTGCAAGAAATGATGTGAGATATATAGACTTCAAAATATGGGGGTCGTTATACTTTAATAAAATACTGTAGGGAAAGGGCATAAGGAAACGCTCACTACTGCAAACTAATAACAGTAAGTTTAACATTTCTGAGGTTAGATAACTTTCAAATTTTCAAGTTTTCAAATCTCCAAATTTTATATTTCTAAATTGTCAAATTTCTGAATTTTCAAACTTGTAATTTTCAAATTTTTAATTGCCCGAAATTCTGAAGTCCCCAAATTGTCAAATTCCCAAATTCTCAAATTTCCACTTTTCTAAATCCCCAAACTCTCACATTGCCTTCTTAATCTCCAAATATCTAAATTTTCAAATTTCACAATCCCCAAAATTCCTAAACTTTTAAACCTTCAAAATTTCCCTAAGGAAACGTAACATGTTCGGTACGGTATATATTTATTTCAACAGTGTCTAGTAGGGTACCAGGCCCATCCTGTACCCCACCTAGTTACGCCTATGTACGTCACCTTCATTGAATCAAATGACAGCAAATTATTTAGACGTTGCACACCATTAACTTTTAATAATCAGTATTAAAGCCAATTGTATCAACCAGTAAATTAACAGGAAATAACTAATATAATATAATTAATAATTTAAATAAAAGTAAGTAACGAATGATATGAAAAAAATAAAGCAAATAAATTAATAATACGAAGAAAGAAAAGTAAATAAAGTACACGTCGCCAAATGGCATTTCAAGATAATAAAAATTGACACTGATTTATCCGCCTCTACGAGCTTTATGGATGAACTGGGGTCGCAAGTGCTGGCGTCAGCAGTTATTTAAATACCTAATTATGAAACAGCAAAGTTAATTAGATTTCATAATTCATTCGCGAAATTTGAAATACGTTTCCGTGCACCATTCTCCCACTGTCCACTGCCAGTCGAATATTTAAACTCTTTGTTGAAACTACTGCAATATTAAAGTACATAATATTGGATTATAGTATTTGGAAATTAAAATAAATAGGAACAATCGTGTAGCGAGGGCAAGGAACGAATGTGGAAATCGCTTTTTGAATGACAGTGTGTTGAAACTGTAGTACGTGTGTAATATTGCAAAATCTTTATGAGGTTTTTTCAGAATAAATTTTGGCTTTCAAAATATTTTGATTTTTATCTATATATAAATCTGATAGTTGGATTACGTAGCAGTCGGTTTTAGAATTTGACAGTGGGTACGGTGGTCGAGTACTTGCCTTCAAATCTGCCTGTCGCATGTTCGAGTCTAATGAAGTAGTAAATTTTTTTCTTCGATTCTTTTATACCATACTTTATTAATATATTGTATTACATACTTTATTAATAGAAATGTATAACTTTTTAAGTAATGTACTTATTATATACTTGTATTATACGGGGCGTTCCACAATTACTGTAAAAACTGAAAAAGGGTGGTAGGTGGGGTGATTCTGAACAATTTTTTCCTTTGCCAAAATATTGGTTGAGGTGGGGTGATTCTGAACAACTTTTTCCTTTGCTTCAACCATTATTTTGGCAAAGGAAAAAATTATTCAGAGTCACCCCACCTACCACTCCTTTTCGGCTCTTACAATAATTGTGGAACACCCTCTATATTATACAAGTTTGATACCTAATTAAAAATATATATTTTTAATATCTGGACAGTCGTAGAAATCAACACCTTGAAGAAATAGGATAGAAAAATATTTTTGCAACTAATAAATATAAAATTACTCGTTAAAGTGAAAATTGAAACAATATGTTAAGTTATAAATATTTTAAATTAAAAAATTTGTGTAGAATAATTGTATAAGTACATAAGAAGTACACTTGAACAATAAAAATTTTCAGAAAAAAATAAAACAGAAAAAAATGATTTGCCTTCACTGGGCTCGAACTCACGATTGTCAGATCTTTAGGTAAAGACTTTACCGCCATAACCATTATAATTTTTCAACAAATTGACTGTTAACTGAACGACTAGATTCGTATAAAATTTAAAGTTAAAATGTTTCAAAAGTCAAAATCCATTCTGGAGAAACCCATACGGATTTTGTAACACGCATATAACTTCAACGCATTATTATTCAAACAACTTCCACATCCGTTTCTCCTTATTGTAAAATATATTTAAGTGTCGCAATATATCAATTGTCATCACATTTTCATCCTTTCGGTATCGATTATTTTGAGTTCTTTTGAAATTTGCAAAAATTGTTATACATTTGAGTTTCTCTTAAATTTATTTTCTGGTTTTACAATTCCTATTCCTCCTCTTTCAATTTACGTTGCGCTGACAAAAATTACAGCTTTCTACACATACGACCGAAATAAAAAAGTTTATACTCGTACCAGGTTAATTTTTGCAATTAAATAATTGTTTTTCTCGACTGTAGACTCTTTTCTCATAAGTGACGCTTTAAAAGAAAACGGTTAACAAATTGTTTATATATCTTGGTATAATCAACGTTTTATCTCTTTATCGCTGTTCCGAAAATTAAATGAAATACGTTTTCATACAATAATTAAACAATCTGATTGTATACAGGGTGGCTCACCACATTTTGCCATCTAGATATGCGTCATTATTATTACTCATAGCAAACAATGTTTCAGATGAAGTTGAATGGTTTTGAGAGGGGGATATGCTGGTGGTATATTTTTTTTGTAGGTAGACATGTAAAGGACATATGAAGGTCATTAATGTTTTTTTAAATGGAATTATATATTTTTTATTGCATTAGCTGATACTCCTTCATATTGTTTACAAAGAAGTATTAATCTATTTATGTGAAAAAATCATTAGTTTAGGAGATATTTTAATTTTAATGTATATTTATAGAAAAGGTTCAATGTGGCGACCATTTGCATCAGAACTCTTTCTGAATCGAGAAATTAATGACTTACTTACATTCCGTAGTGTATAATCTTTCTACATGTGTAGCACTTTTCCCAGCTTCAAAATAAACTGATAACATGTCTATCTTTTCTTCTTTAGAATACTTCATTATGTGATAATTCACCGTATAGTCGTATTCACCGTATTAGAGACGTAACAGAGACTAAATTTTACTGTTACTACGTAACAAAAAAACAAAAACTCACAATTCGTTTGGTGACACGTGACCTCTCAAAGCATGTAGAAAAACATTTGCTCTGAACTTCCTGCATTGCTTTCTTTTCTGGCTGTTTAGAAGCGACGAGTCAGTCTTAATTCAGCTTCCTTAGAATATACTTACTTCGGTCAGTCTTACATTAATTTTGTCACTATCAACGACTTTAACACACAACAATCATTACTACCAGTGGGATGATGAACTACATCCTTCATTGACCTGGGCACACCAGTGTGGAGGACTCTGAGCCACTCTATCAATTCTACTCTATAATACTAACTCTACATATAATTCCACTACCGTAACAAGTTGTGGAAACGCCATGGGTCGACGAAGATTTACAACCTTCGAAATTAACTATAAATAATTAATATTTTACCCAGCGCGTGAACAGTTTAGAAGATATTTTAATTCTAACTTGCTAGGAAATCGTGACTTTCTGGCCAATATTATGAATTGCCCTAACTGAACAGCAAATGTTTTTCTACATGCTTTGAGAGGTCACGTGTCACCAAACGAATTGTGAGTTTTTGTTATTTTTTTGTTACACAATAACAGTGAAATTTTGTTTCTGTTACGTCTCTAATATGATGAATACGTCGATACGGTGAATTATCACTTCATAATGAACTATTCTAAAGAAGAAAAGATAGACATGTTTTCAACTTATTTTGAAGCTGGGAAAAGTGCTACACATGCAGAAAGATTATACACTACGGAATGTTAGTAAATCATTAATTTCTCGATTCAGAAAGTGTTCTGATGCGAATGGTGGTCACATTGAAACTTTTCTGTAAATGGACATTAAAATTAAAATATCTCCTAAACTAAAGATTTTGTCACATAAAGAGATTAAAATTTTTTCATAAAGAATATGAAGGAGTAACAGCTGATGCAGTAAAAAATATATCATTCTATTTGAAAAACATTAATGACCTTCATATGTCTTTTACGCGTCCACCTACAAAAAAAATATACCATCAACACATGCTTCTTCCAAAACCATTCAATTCCACCTGAAACATTGTTTGCTATGAGTAATAATAATGACGCAAATCTAGATGGCAAAATGTGGTGAGCCACCCAGTATACATATTGCATAGAAATCTTTTGCGGTTGTTGAAACATTTTTTAAAGAATGTAATTTAAAAAGTGATTTAAGTGTAATTTACATATATAATGATATACATATATAACATATGTATTTTTTTTATTATTTACGAATAATAAAAATTAACGATTTTAAAAGAAAGAATGAAAGATTATGTAAGTAAACATTAAACAATAAAACAATATGTAAGTATTGTCACATGTCTAATTATGCGTTGTTCTACGTATTTGTTACTTATAATTTAAGTAATTAAACAGCATATAAATAACAAGTAGGGGTTTTTATTATTTTTTAATTTTATTATACTTTTAGAATCATACATACATGAATATTATTTGTTTTGTTGTTGAAAAAGTTCATTTGTTATATTTGGATGTTGCGCTTCACTAAATAGTTGTACTTATAGGAAATTATTAATTAGTTCTGATTAATACAGGAATTAATGATTATGTATACTTTCTTAATCACTTTTCATTTTGTTATGTGATGTAGTATAAATATATGGTAATTGATTTTTTAAGCGGTTCTCAAATTTTTAAATTACAAAATTGAGAAATTTCTTAATTTACAAATTTTGAAATTTTCAGATACCAAAATTTTTATATTTATTTATTTATATAAATTATTACATTTTCAATTCCAAAATTTTCAAATCTCCAAATTTCCAGATTCCTTAATTTTCAAATAACCAAATTATCAAGTCTCCAAATTCAAAAATTCTCATATTCCCAAATTTCAATATTCCAAAATTTTTTAATTCTCAAATTCCAAAATTGAAAAATTTCCAAATTGCAAAATTCATAAATTCTTAAATTCCCAAATTCCAAAATTTATAAATTCTTAAATCTCTAAATTTCAAAATTTCCATATTCTTAAATTTTCAAGCTTCAAAATTTCCACACTTCTAAATTAGAAAATTAAGTCTCAAAAATTTGTCGACTAAAAGTCGGGGCCATTTTTCCTAAGAAACAGTCCTATCCTCAGTGTACAAAGCATATTACGTGGTACTCGAGTGTTTGAAAATAAAAAAATTGAGAACCGCTAACCTAAAAAATAATTATACAAAAGCAAACTTAAAACTTATCTATAACACAAGTGGACTTTCTAAGATTTCCTTAAATTTACATAACAAATTCAGTTCTGAAAAATAATGTAAATACTAAAATTATTTGACAACATATTTCAAGGCTATTAGAATGGTTGAGCCTTTATAATATATTTTAAGACCTCTAAAATCGGTGAAGATACACTTATTCCAAATAATTATTATACATTATACTTAATTCTACTTTTATCGATAGCATCTGTTTAATAGACAGTACTCTGAAAAAGTTTTCGGAACTTCTCTTTGTAGTACAACAAATAGAAAAATAAATAGTATGATTTGTAATGGGTTTATTTATGTATAATTTTGTTAATTGCTGGGTATTAAATATATGTTAGCATCATTAGTATTCTAATTTTTCAAATCTCAAAGAATAATATTTGGAAAATTATAATTAACAACAAAGCGTCAGAACGTAAAATGATTTCCCGCCTTTTTTCAAAACGACGCCATATTGGTATAACTCTTTCTTAGTTGTGATCTTTCCGACATTCTACAAGGTATTACAAAACGGTGAAATATAATGTAAGAAATATTTATAATTCTAGTAAAAACGCAGTGCATTAGCTATAGAAAGGAGTACACCGTAAATATTAGATCATCGGTGACTTTTCATTCAGTGAAAGGCAGACCATAACGGTGTAACGCAAATACATTAGCATTGAAAAGGTCTACGATTTACAATGTATATAGAAAATATTTGCAAAGCGAGTTCACTGAAGATAAATTACAGTTTTCACATAATTCGAAGAAACAGTTTATCTATTGCTTTATTTAAATATTTTGCGGAAAAATATAGTCTAGATAAGCAAATACATGTAGTACTTCGTAATTAATAGAATTATTCATAAATAAATTCATTATAAAATGAAATATTATTTATTGTAAAGTAAAAGGTACTTTCGAAATTTTTTTACTAGTATGCTATGTTAGTTAAAACGACCATCAGTTCTGTTCAAACAATTATCGCTTATGTCGGTCCAAACAAATATTAGTCATATTAGTTCAGAAAAATATCAGTTATGTTGGTTTAATAAATACAGTAAAGTCTTTATATACGCGAATCTCTCGGGTATGAAGTTTCGCTTGATTCGAGTAGTTCCGACATTCCGCGAAGTTTACCGAACGTAGAAAAGCACAGCCGATCGAAAACAAACAGTAACATATCGGTGGGGCAATACTAATACAAGATTAAAACTTATTTATTTATCATTTTTTGTTATTGCAACATTTACTAATATATTAGCGACATTTTCCTGATTAAAATGAGTCCAAACACGACATAATCCGAAAAATATCTGCTTGTAATTTCAAGTTTTATTTATATCGATGCTTTAATAAGATTCGCGGTAAACGAACGAGTAATGACACATCGGGTAATTTCGTTGTTCTTCGATACTACTCGGATGATCACGTGATACGTCTGACAGTTGAAATCGTAGACTTACACGATTTTATGACTTCGAGGATTTTACTCCTACAAGCTATTTCAAGTAAAAATGCCCCGAATTACATCGTGTGCAGTCTTATTTTGATTGGGAAAACGTCACAAATATGTTGGTAAAAGTTGTATAAAAAATGGACTGAAAATAAAGAAGTTAGCAACGCATTAGCAGTGTAAACAATATAACAGGTCTGATATCTACCGATTGCCACAATTACAGTCTCTATTTCGCTATCATTCGCGTTCAAAACTCATCGCTAATTAAATCAGTAAATATAGTCCAAATCATATCGTATTTGGTCTCATTTTACTCGAAAAAATGTCAGAAATCTATTGGTAAAAGTTTTATAACGAAAAAATCAGAAATAAGAAAATTTTATACTTGCATTAGTACTATCTCGGATATACGAACTCGGATCACGTTACACGTCACGTGCGAGCTTCGAATCTCGAAGTCTTCCCCCATCGATGGGAATATCTTTTTTGCTTCTATTTTTGTTCATTTCGAGACTTTACTGTATCAGTTAAATTTTGAGTTATGCCGCTTTGTTATGTCCAACAGCATGCTCCACCTCGCAGTATTTCTTTCGAATCACCGCCATCGCTAAATAAATTGCACGAGATTAAGTCACTTACAATTAGTGCCTTTCGCAACAGGTAACGATTCTGTCAGATATGAAAGTAAACTGTTATGTTGACAGTAGAGGCGGTCCATATTGCCAACCAACTCTGCCAGTATGGCTACTTCTTCCCGGTGAATGACTCCAAGACACTCACCGTAAAGGATGATAGTTCTCTATATAGATTTCAGGTATTGTATCTGGCTTACTATGTCCGAAAGTCGAGCAACATGCAAGCTTACACTTATATACATAAATACATATTACTCGTACACAGGATGTTTAGAAAGGTGTGCCAGGGTAAATATATCAAAAACAACAACTAGCAGAGAGAAAAAAATAAACACTGCCGATTATAAACAATTTCTGAATATGTAATTCAAATATCTTGCTTATTTCTAGCTACCTTACAATCCTTCAAGTTTTCCTTTAACTGCTGCATAATTACAAACTCACCCGGTACATTGCAGAGAGACAGTCTTCGACATCCATGTTTACAGCGAACGAGTCTCGTTAAATTAAATATTGCAAATGTATTTTGTGACGTGTTGAACGGACAGGAATGTGTAACATGTGATGAAATAGGTTAAGAAGGTATAAATTAGCTGCAAATGAATCCTTTAGAAGCAATTAAATACAAGATGGCTATGGCAGACATTTGCTTAGCTCTTGGAAGCAGGAAATTTTGTATGACTCTAAAAGTATAGTTATTTATACACTCATGTACAGCTACTTACATACATCACTTACCATGCTTCTGTGTTAGCGTTTGATAGTTACATGGCGTATTCACAGGTAATAAATAAGTAGTTTGTATTTTGTACAAACAGTAGTGTAATGTTTAAGTAAAATTAACTAATATTAAGAGAAATTAAATGACTGCGTTTAAGTCGTTTATGGATCATTTCTGGTTTGTTCGATAAACAGACACCATGTTATTGGCCATGGCAGCATAGAACCCCTGATAACGTGGAGTACGCTATTTATCTGGCTAAAAGAAGTCTAAGAAACAAGCAACGCCATGCTCTTGAGGATTATGAGATTGTATGTAATTGTTAATAATATCTTTATTTAAATTTATTGGTTACTTTTATTCGTTATATTAGTAAGTAATTTGTCCTCTTAGGAAGCTTTGAACAGCCTACGTAGGAATTTGCAGAACAAGTGGGACATCATTCAACTTCAGGCTGAGGAACAGGTGAATAATTAGTGACTTTCATATTTCGGAATTAAATATTCGTCCGTTGGAAATTGATAATACTTAATGCAGCGATATTAATTTTAAGCTGATAAAGTACGAACAAAAGATAAATTGTACATTTGTTTTTGGAAAATTATGTATTTAAAATGCATTAAGATGTCGTGCAGTTATTATTATAAAATTTTATTTGGAATGTTGAAGAAATTATTTTTTTTATTAATAAGAAAATATCGGATGGATAAAAAGAATTGCGAATAGTTTTTATTTATTCGTTATACAGAAATTATTATTAAAATTATTAAAATTATTTAATTTTAATTAAATTAATTTCTTATTGATGCATGACGAACAAATTTGATTTATATATGTTTAAATTAAATTTATTCCTTACTGTTAATATCTGCTTACCACTGGTTACTTGTAATGTATTAGAAATACAATTAAATCCATTTTATTTAAAGAAAAGATCCCATCATTTCTCTAATTTATATTATTCAATATTGTTTCTAACTAAATTGTAACAATTTATATCAAACAATGATAAACAATATCCTTACGAGTCGCTAGAAATTAATTTTCAATTCTATTCGTATCCTTTCTCATTATTAACGTCAGAATTAATTAATAAACTTTGTATTTTTATTAATAAATGGAACTTGGCAGCAACAGACTCGTATAGTAGCTCGGTAAATTCCTGCTTTTGGGGCTATGAGGTTATACTTCACTAGAAAAAAATTATAGAACTATTTATCATTACTTTTTTAAAAATTCTTTACAAAAGATTATTGTTAATATGTTTATACATGTACTAAAATTAGAAAATATAAATTTTAAATACATCTTGTTTAAAATGATTTGTACAACTAAATATTATAGCAAAAAGAAATTGTACAATGAATTGTTCATTTTTGCATAAATTAAATTAATTCCTCTTGTGCAAGACAACAAATACAGGAATGGTACTATGTTTAAATATTAATGTAACTGTAAGTCTCGTGCATTCGAGCGTGTGACTCCTTGAAATGTTAATTATGTGGGTTCAGGTACGTCTATCAAAGGAGCGGAAGAAAGGCGACAAAATAGTGAGTGATTCCCAGGAACGAGCGTTTTGGAGAGTTTATAGGCCACCACCCGGTTGTCTTAGTAGCCTTGAAATAGCACCTGTACCTACTCGTTTTCGTCCTGGACTTTCGCGTCCTCCGTCACGTAAACGCACCTTAACCGATCTGCAACGTGAGGTAAATCACGTTTTCTTCAATAACAAACAACATTCATCGCCGTAACACGATCTCACTCTGTACACTCCATAACAAAACTTTGAGACAGTGTTTTTAAGACACTTAAGATAAAAACTCTATTTCCACTATTTGTCAGTAATGGATAGTACAGTAAAATCTTGATATAAGCAAAAAAAAATTGTTCATCGCGGCGGGAAAATACCAGAAAGTTCACTCGCCGCAAAATGTAACGTGATCCGGGTTCGGGAATATCTGCGAGATAGTACTACTGCAAATATATAATTTTCTTATTTCTGATTTTTTCGTTATAAAACTTTTTCCGATAGATTGTTGACATTTTTTAGAGTAAAATGAGACCAAATACGATATAATTTGGACTATATTTACTGATTTAATTAGCGATGAGTTTTGAACGCGAATGATAGCGAAATAGAGACTGTAATTATGGTAATCGGTAGATATCAGACCTGTTATATTGTTTACACTGCTAATGCATTGCTAACTTCTTTATTTTCAGTCCATTTTTTATACAACTTTTACCAACATATTTGTGACGTTTTCCCAATCAAAATAAGACTGCACACGATGTAATTCGAGGCATTTTTACTTGAAATAGCTTGTAGGAGTAAAATCCTCGAAGTCATAAAATCGTGTAAGTCTACGATTTCAACTGTCAGACGTATCACGTGATCATCCGAGTAGCATCGAAGAACAACGAAATTACCCGATGTGTCATTACTCGTTCGTTTACCGCGAATCTTATTAAAGCATCGATATAAATAAAACTTGAAATTACAAGCAGATATTTTTCGGATTATGTCGTGTTTGGACTCATTTTAATCACGAAAATATCGCTAATATGTTAGTAAAAGTTTCAATAACAAAAAATGAAATATAAATGAGTTTTAATCTTGCATTAGGATTGCTTCACTGATATGTTGCCATTTATTTACTTTCGGTCGTTCAGATGTTTTCGTCGTTCGCTATTCGTTTCTACGTTCGGCAACCTTCGGTCAGCGTCGGAACTGCACGATGAAGCGAAAACTCAGATCCGAACATTTCGCTTATATCAAGACTTTACTACTATTACGTTGCATGATTTTTAGTCTTCGTTTGAGAAGAGATCAATTACATTCTCATGCATAAATGAAATCATTTGTTATGCACGTTGATTTTCTAATAATTAGTATGTTTTAATTGAATACCAGGTGGCCCTGTTAAAGAATAGCTTAACTCGCACGAGAATAAAGGTATCAGCTGCGATCGAAAACTTGAAGTCATACTTTGAAACATACGTGGAGTACGATGCGATGTTTGTACCGCCTCAACCTTCTAATCCATGGATCACCGACGATCAAACATTTTGGCAATTAAACAGTCCCCTGTTAGTATTACGAATGCGGCTATAATTTTTTGTAAAAATATACATACAGGGTGAGGACGACGTATGGCTTTTTCGCGGTAATCACCCTCGCTAGCGTAATTATACTGAAGTACGTGCAAATTTTATTAGGTTGTTTTTAACAAATCTTACTGAATATTTTCACAATATTGTGGATGACGTGGCAGTCAAAGTGTCGATAGTATTAGCGTCATATGATTGGCAAGATTATATGGTTTTTGGCAGTTTGGGAATTTGAGGATATAATAGCTGGAATATAAAAATTTATGAATTTTAATTATGAAGCTTCAGTCTACCTTGGTTCCTAGCTAATTACGCCAATGATTACCTTGTATGTATATTGTGCGAGAAATAACGAGTGTATCGATTCCATTTCTTCATTTAATTTGTGCACAGGGTGGAAGTTCCTACGGAAAAAAGGGTAAAACGTTGGGCGCTGTCAATGGAAGAATTAATGTCTGATCCTACGGGTAAATAATTTATAACTTTTTATTTGTTAAACAGAAATAATTTACAGGGGAAAGAACAGGTGTAGAAATTGCTATTAGAACAATAATATATTTAATACTATATATGGATATCATCGATATGGGTTGTATCTTTTGAGATATCTTAATTTTGAACTTAATAATGCACATACTCCTCTTCAAAAAACGAATTTTATATCTGTTTATTTTTCATTTAAAATTAGAACCCTTAATCCTTATTACTGTGACCTTAATCCTATGACTGTGTTTGGTTATATTTCTTTAACAAAATAATGAAACTAAGAATTGTGAATTATTCCTTTGTAGCTTGTTCACCAATTACTTATTATAAAAAGCTTTTCCAGTAATACATCAACAGTATTACACTTTGAAATTTTATGTACTTTAGATTTAACTATTTTCAAAATACACTTCTCTAATACAATAAACACAAGTAAGCTAACCAACGATAATGATAATAATCAAATTATTAAGTTATTCAAGTGTTAATTCTTTGTTACATTAATTTATACTATCCGTTAGTTATTAATTTAATTTAAAAATGATTAAAATTACCATTTTAACTCTTTGAATACTATAAGTAATCTGTTGGTACACAAACGGAAATGCATTAGTTCAAACAATAGTAATACAGAAAGTGAATCATTATCAACCACTGATAATTTATAATATCGTACCGAAAGGGTTAATTGTCGCGAACTTTCTTTACAAAAATATATTAACGAATCTTCAAAAAAATATTTTTGAATGCAGAATCATCGCTTAACCATTTGCACCGCGATACTGGAATACTCTCTATATATATTGCATAAAATTTTCGAACTTAAAATGTTCAACAATAATATTTTAACAATAAAACATTCGATTTTGTAGAAAAAAATATGCGAAACTAAATGTATTAAACCTTTAATGTGTCACAGGTTTGCAAGAATTTACGAATTATTTAAGAAAAGAATACAGTCACGAAAATATACGATTTTGGTTGGCTGTTAAAGATTTAAGGCACAGCTTTCAAGCACAAATACCTGACAAAGTCAACGAAATCTTCAGGTAAGTGTCACAAAAATACAGGGTGTCTTAATAAAATGCATTCCTATCTCATTAATAAATACAGGTGCAAATTTTATCTATATTATATATAGTTGAAAACAAACAGAGGTGATTATGTTGGCTATTTTTAAATTACAAATGTTCAAGATGCTCAAGATGTTCAAGATGCACAGTTCAATATGTATAAAATGTTCAAGAAATAAAAACTGTTCAAGATAAACCAAAATGTTCAAGATGAATAGTTCAGAATGTTCATGATGAACAGTTAAAAATCTTCAAGATGTTGAAAGTTCACAGATGTTCAAAATATCTGAAATGAACTGTTTATAATGTTCAAAATGTTCAAGATAAATAAATCAAAATGTTAAAGACGTTCAAGAGGAACAAATAAGAATGTTTAAGATGAACTATTAAAAATCTACAAAATGTTTAAGATTAATAGATGTTCAAAATGAATCTCTAAATCAACAGTTTAAAATGTTCAAAATGTTCAAAATAAATAGTTTAAACAGTTCAAAAGCTCAGTGTTCAAAATAAGCATAAGATCAACTTCATGTAATACTACAATTTTTTTGTTTGATGTTAAGATTGATACATGTATGCATTTTATTCAAATACCCTATATATCACATGTAATTATGTGACGTATGAAATTAATGCTGATAAGAAGTTAATTTTGTACTATTTATTTAGAGAATTCCTGGCACCTGGAGCCCCTTGCGAGATCAACATAGACGGGAAAACAATGGAAAAAGTTCATCAAGAAATGAAAAATCCAAATCGATTCACATTCGATTCTGCCGCTGAACACGTGTATACGTTACTTCTCAAAAAGGATTGTTATCCTAGATTTATTCGCTCTGATCAGTATCGAAATCTCTTAGCTGCCGGTGTGCAACCATTACAAAAAAAGAGGTATGTTGTATCTCCTATTTTCGAAATTTCTTTTAACACATTTTAACGCAGTGAAATTACATTTGCTAATTTCTCAAGTTAAAAATTTGAACAAAGTTGTACTTTTAAATTTCTAAATGTGAAAATTTGTAAGTTTCAAAATTTAAGATGACTCATAAATCTTTGCATACAAATTTTTAGATTATCAAATTTGTAATTTCTTAAATTTGAGAAACAGAAAATTTAAAAATCTGGAAATTTGAAACCTTCTAAATTTGACAATTTAGTAAGTTGTAAATTTAAAAATTGTGTTGTAAAAAATTGTTGTATGTGTAAATTTAGAAATCTAAAAATCTCTAACTTAAACAACCTGAATTTTGAATACTTACAAAATCTTTAAACTGCTAAAAACAAAAATCTTTAGACTTCTAAATTCAACAGTTAAAAAATTCATAGTTAGTTTCTGAATTTCTACATAAAAGTAAAACGTATTGTTTTATTCACTGAACACAAAAATTATTGTAACGAAGAAGTCACTATAATTTCATCATTATCTCTATTCCGCAGATTCTTCGGCTTCGGCGGACAAGCCAAAAAGAAACTGTCTTCAACTTCAGCCCCACCAACCAGCACCTTGCAACAACACACTATAAGCAGTGGAAGCGGTGGTAAACGCAGAGGAAGCGATCGAAGCCTCTCAGGATCTGCTCACGAGTTAGCAGTTTGCGGTGTTCGTGAGACAACTTCAACTACAACCAGAGTGCCGCATTCCCACAGTCAGTCGAACCTTGCTGATATTCCATACAGGTAAAACAAGAGTTCAGAATTCTTTCAAAATCGGTGATACTTACTATTCATGTAACGAGCAGTTGTGCCTTAGAGATCTTCAAGAGACGTTTGATCAAATGCAGGACATAATTAGCTAATTTATTCTTTGCATACATCTGTCGATGAAGTTTACTTAACTTCATAGTAAGTATCACTGTTCTAAATTCAAGAAAACCACGTGGCTTTAATAAATATTTTTGGGTTCAACGATATAGCGTGATCGTAAAAGTGTGAAATGTCTAAAACTAGGTGCTAGAGTTTCACTTAAGCAATTTACGACATCGCTATATCTAACTGCACATTTTAATTGACTTGCAGCTCTGTTCACAAAGTTTTCGTTAGCCAAGCTTCTGCGAATATTACTGATAAGTGAAAGCGCTTTTGTAACTTAAATTTGAAATACTCATGTCTGCTCAGTTTCCACAGCTATGCATGTGTGTTCTGAATACACAACCGATAAACAAACAGACCAATTCTGCACTACTGATTTTTGACCATCTTATGCGGTCTTGTTTCCTTAACAATGATAAACGTACTAGAAGTCGACAGGTTATATCGTTGCGGTATTTTCAGGGGAGATCTGGCTCGACTCGTAAAGATTCCTACGAGGCCTAGTCCGCATAATGTTCAGTAAGTCCTCGAATTCCACAGCTTTCTTGCGTGAAACATGAATCTCTTCACTTGTTGTTAACAATTTTTACCAAATCCTCGTTATATCGGTGTTATTTTCTTTAAAGGTGTTCAGCACTTTTGGCCACTCGTGTGTATGCAAGATTTATTAGATCTCTTGGTGTTTTCTAATATTCTCTCATTAATTTCGATGTGTAAAGGATAACACTTTGTCCGCAATCTTCCTTCAAAACTCCTTTAAATCACTTTCAATTGTTTCATTCTTCTTGTCTTTTGTACAAATCGTCTTTTCCTGTTTTAATCTTGACACTGTTTTCTATAAATATTCTGTTTAGAACCATCTTTAATGACTTTGATCTTGACGTATGTCAACATCATTCTGCTGAGTGATCTTCAGAAGATTTTAATTACAGTCATTTGTAAAAAACAGGTGAATTTAATATAATAGTCATGTCTTTTACTGGTCCATATTTTAATATATCTGTGGGTAGTCCTGTATGTATGCATAATATTTCTTTAGGTGGATCAATCTACGTACTTAATATATTTTTATGTGATCCAGTCTGTATATTTAGTATATTCTTGTATAGACTTCTTTGTATATTTAATATATTTTTGAGTGGATCACCCTATACATTTAACATGTTTTTGAGTGAACCACTCTGTATATGTAATTTGTTTTTCAGTAGACCATCCTGTATATTTAATATATTTTTAAGTGGATCACCCTATATATTTTATATATTTTTGAGTGGACCACTTTATATATTAAGTATATCTTTGTGTGAACTCCCTCTATATTTAATATATTTTTGTGTGGATCACTCTACATGTTCAATATATTTTTCAGTGATCTACTCTGTACATTTAATGTATCTTTAGTTGGTCCGTTCTATATTATATCTTCAGGTGGATCATCCTGTAGATTTAATGCATCTTTAATTGGTCCACCCTGTACTATATCTTCAGGCGAATCATCCTGTACATTTAATACATTTTTAATTGGTTCACACTGTATTATATTTTCAGGTGGACCATGTTGTATATTTATAATATTATATATTTTTGGTAAACCAACATATATATTGTATATATCATTACATGGATAATTCTGTATATAAAAATGTATTTACTGTAATGTTTATATTACTGAGTATATAGCAATGAAATGTCCCATTTAGGTTAGGACGAGCTACTGTACCTTCACAATACCAAAAGTCTTCTTAAGCAATGTCCCTAACATTCCGCTATAATGTATCCACATTATGGAATGTGGAATGTCTTACTACGGTGTAATCACTTTTTGTCTTCTTTAACCTTTTAACAAAGAGTGATGAATAAAATCTTCTGAAGATCAGTCAAGTTTACATATGGCAAGGTCAAAATCATCAGACATGATTTCTCTAAACATAACTTTTACCCTATTTTCTGGTTATTGTGTGGTAATTAGGTTATTGTGCGTCCTTATACTTAAATAGTTGTGTCAGCAAAACAATTCCTGTGTTCTTTATATACTAATAAACGAAAAGGACCTTAGTCCTTTCCAGCCGCAATATGCTGGGATCAATAAAAACATGATCACACATTTTCAAATAAAATTAATAACTCTTGCTAAGGTAGGTGTGCACAAATTTATCATGCTGATACTTGGAGTCCCATTTTTTTTCTATATACTGACTTGTTAGTGACATTTTCAGATGTCAGTAATGTCCACACTCTACAGTTTGGAATGAATTATATCATTCCTTAAAACATTTATACAGATGCTGCTTAGATGACCTGCAATGACCTTGACCTTAATATATATTGTCAAGGCCACTCATTGATTATACTTGCTGTATATCATATTGTAATACCTCATATTAGGGATGTTAGAAATAACGGACGAGATATTTTTATGTTTCATACACCATTTTTGATTGTACAGTCAAAATCATCGACACAATGTAAGGTCTAAACTTAAATTTAACACTCCTAAACCGCAGCGCAATTAAGATGAATCACTGAAAGAATAATTGAACAAAATTTGCGAGTGTTAACATTCGTCAACACTGAAAAAAATCAGATGGCAGGAGATATTGTTAAAGAAACAATACTGTACATTCTCTACTCTGCATGGTACACCGACGTGGTAGTTAACAGAGAGGAAAAAGTGAAAACTAAATCATATAATAAAGTTCATGTTGTCAGGGATGCTGGCACGTCGGAAGCGATGGCTCGCCCTATGGACGACGTTTGCCCGTGGGACGCGGCGCCGGGCCCCAGTATAGAGCACACCATGGATTCCACGGGACACCAGCACTCGATATTATCTGGAATAACGTCGCCGGTTGAAAGCCAGCACGAAGAGGGTAGAAGTAACTTGACCGGGCAATCACAGTCTATCGAATTTGCACGCCCGTCCCGGAAAAACTCGACGCAATTGGATTCCTGTAGTTCCTCGTCTGACGTCAGTCTGGCGGTGGCGGAAGTCACTGAACATATTCGAAAATCTTGTAGTCTGCAGCACAGTGCTAGCACAGGTAAATACAGTTTGTTACAGAAAACTACGCGTTATTTATATGATACATAGCATTATATCAGGTGAAGACTCAATGTCTGAACATGTTTCATAAGAGACACTTGAGGCTTTCACGGCCCGGCGTCATACAGGTATTACAGTTGAGGCTTTCGGGTGTAAGTCGTGTCTTAAAGGAAGCGAGTTCCCAACGTTTCGCCAGCATTGCAGCTAGCTTCATCAGGGAATACACTGTTACTGGTGCGACTGGTGTTATGTCGCCCCTTATATTGTGGTGCGATGCTCACGTTCCGGATCGTTGACTGTTCCGGTTGATTGCTTGCGTCAATCAGAAAGGGGGACTTTTTGATTATGCGCACAATTAAAAAACTGGGAAGAGCGTGTGCCAGATTGGGTTAATATGATATCCTGTTTCCCGGTTGATGTTGTTCGGGTGTTTCCGTATTTCTATTGCTTCCCTATGCTTTCGGGGAAGATAGGCTGATGTTTTTGCCAAAACTACTGTTTTATCAAACAGGATTTTGTGCCCAGTGGTAATCTGGTGTTCCGCCACGGCTGATTGAATGTAGCTCAACCTGGCGCAACGCTCATGTTCCTTGAGTCTGGTGTTTCATAAGAATAATTAATATCATTTGGTCACTCGTAGCTGGCACAACATCAACTGAACGATACGGCGCTGGATGCGGCATGACAACACGAAATTATTCTATCGGATCCACCAGCGCGAGAGTGAAGCTGGCAGAGATCGGTAGACCATCCGCTTCGTTTTGCAATTATCCGTCGCCGCAACACTCGTTCGAGTATTCCCACGTGGTCGTCGAACGATCGGACGCACCCATGAGAAGCATGAGCGAGATGCATGAAACTCATCCAGTCAGGTCAAAGGTCCCGTCGTTTGAAAAGGAACCTACGAGCAAATTGACCAAGGCCCCTTTGATAAGCATCAGCGCGATCGTGGGCGATTTAGCGAGCGATAGCCCAACGATGGAGCAAGAAGAGAATGAAGGGGACGATTGCGTAGAAATGAAGGAAGAGGACAAAGAAGCTGCGAGAAAACGAGAATCGGAAGCTGAGAAGATCGATACAGTAATTCCTGAAGAAGAAAGCCCCGCGGTTTCGAGCCAGGTGGATACGGAGGTCAAGGAATTGCTGGAAGAGGCACAAGTTGTTCCTGTCTGGGAACCGGACGCCCAACAGGACGACCAAGTTGCACCCATTACTGAAACAGTACCTCAGCAAAAGCGTGACAATAACGTTAACGAAGTGTGCCCGTGGGAAGACGAGTAAGTACAAGTCTTTTTATCGACTTTAATAATAGTAATTATTATAATTATAATGTTGAAGGTTAAGCCGAGTGAATTGGGGATCTCATCCGATCCCAAAATTACAAACTATTTATCCTTGAATAGACAACAAAAGTATTTATTTTGTAACTTTATTATGAAATTTTATTTACATACACAAATTAATGACAAAGTAATGAAAATCTGTCGGTGACAGATCCAATTTTAATTTTACTTTATTTATAAACAAATAAATTTGTATTTTACTGCCACCAAAAGTCACATCTGGTTTAGATCAGTATCATGGAACAATTTTCTATCACTTTGTTGAAGATCACTATTCACACTGGACACATTCCACTAGTTCCTTAATAATAGGAATTATTATTATAATATTAATACGTTGACTATTGTCTAGTATAGACATAATAATATGGACTGTTGTCTAACAGTTCAAATATACACATTTTTGTACACAAACATGTAAAAAATGTTTAAAAACAGTATAAAAACTTTAAAACTCTGACAAACAGGTCCACCAAATGTTAATATTTCTGTTTCACTTGATACATCCTAAGAAAAGATTATTATTGTAGGATTTATTTTTCAATGAAAATTGAATACAATTGAATACAATTTCAACACCATATCATGGTTTAATAACAAATGCTTTGTTATTTTGATTACTGTAAAAAGGAGGTTGCAGGTTCAAATCTTACTACAATACTTCTTTTGTTTTCCTTATGCTTAAATGCCTATTTATTAAGTTTTATTTTACACTTTAAAACTATTCAAATTAATAAATACTTACTAATCATTTGTAATGAAAAACTCATCTTCTCAAGCTGCGGTTATATTAACAAAAATGATATTTAGTGCTAATATTCTGAAGTCTAATATTTGTTTCAGGGAAAACTGTAGAGTGGATGCACCTTACGTGAAAACCTATGCGACTTTAGGTTACTTATAACTTGGCATCGGTACTAAACTTACATTTTACGCTTAAGCATTCACAATTCAATTTCTATTTTAATTCACTTTACTTGTAAGTCCGAGTGCCCGAATTATGAAGGATACCTTTTGATTGATTGTCATTCTTTTTTTCATTTCTTAAGAATGAATAAGTAAATTGCTTATTAGCAATATTTAAAGAAATAATTAAATTTATCTATGAATGAAATCAATAAATGAACATCATAAGTATTTATAAATGATAACTCAATGCATTTAAACTAATATTCATGTGAAACAAAATTCTCGCCACTTTTATTCGTTTAGCATCGTTAGGAGTTCCATTTCATTTTCTTCTAGACTCATCTAAACTTCGACATACCATTTAAGGTATACATTAAGTAATTCTATACAAAGTAATTTAACTAAAAATGAAATAAATTATATGGGTCTATATTTCTCTATTCAGTCAAAAGATGTAATCGATATTACCTGTAACATGCACTTTGGGAAACAAGATTTGTTTTTACAAAGAGAAATAAAGTATTAAATGCAAAGATGTGCTCTGAGGGTGCCAGTCAACAGTGAGCCCATTGACCGCTCCCACTGATTACAGATTTCTTTAATACTTCTTCAAAAAAAAAAATATAAATCTTTACTTTTAGCATTACAAAAATTCTCTAGTATTAACAGGAAATTTTTTTTTTTTAATTAGAATTACGTCCCAATAGTGCATCGTTTGAATGTTAAACGATACGTTAAAATGTAAACGAAGTTTAGAATGCAGCTTGTCATAAGATCACATTGGTGTCGTGATACTTAATTGTCGTTCGATCTAAGTGTTAGTTAGTTTATTCGATACATAATAAGTGTCTAACAATAAGTATTTAACGTTAGCTGGCTTGTACCTTGAAGTTGATGATGGCTTTCGCTAAAATCATGGTTGTATAAATAAATCTGGACACAGACACTCTTGAAACACAACCCAATCGAACACTGCATACAAAAAATAATATGGCGTAGCTGGAACGCGCATGCGCATTGCGCATAGATCACGATCGATATATTAATGGTATCGAATAAAAATATATTAATGGTTTTTCAGTATAAATAAGTTAATAATTTTGTGTAGAAAACATTCAGCAAAATTAAATAATTACGTGATAAATAATATAATTAAATTTTTTTGACGCCATATTGGTCATATTGATTTTATAAATCTTTAGCATTGTAACTTTGACATATATGAAATGCAGCCAATTATTATACAGATTCGATATAAAGCGATCGCAGTGCTCTCATTTTGTGGTAGATTTTGAAAGTTTGGCTACAATAAGAGATCATTCTTGTCACGGGAGTTTGCAGACTTATTTATAGGACCATAATTGAAACGAAGCTGTTGAATTTCAATCGTAGAAAGTAACCTGCAAAATCGTTATTTGCGATTAAAAGAAATCACCGTTATGAGGGGAAACAGAGACAAACATCGAGAAGAAAAGAAAGTAGCATTAACGATCCTGTTTACTGTCTAAGGTAAAAATGTTGTTCTTTAAATTAAAGTGTAAAATGCTTCTAATTACGTGACATAGGGTCTAGTGATATTCGGGTTCTCGGCACTGTCGCTGCCCCAGTGTCGAGTTCTTCTTGCTACCGATTAAATCAAATCAAATAAAACTAAATTATCGAGTAAAAGTTAATCGAGCAATTTTGTCCCCTCGTTATTAGAGAATTTATGCTTGTTAACGTAATAATAGATTTTAAACGGTAGAACGATAATCTTATACTTATTCTAACCTTAATCGCGGTGAAATACGAAAATAATACTTCGAACAGTGACGTATAAACTGATTGTCCTTGATGAAACATGTTAATCGGAAGAAAATTGATCGCGTCAATCAGTGACGAAGATAATGTTGAAAATTGTTAATATTTCTGTTAACAAATTTTGAATTCGTTAACAAAAACTTTGCAGATAATTTTCTGAATTATCAAAGCAAAATTGATAATTAGAAGTTTACGAATGATTTAAGAATTCTTATTTGTGTGTTGTACAAAGAAATATTTTCCAACGTAAATTTGTTGATGCAATCAAAATGATCAAAAAAGACGTCCGTTAGATTCGGGTACTCGAGGCTAGTCCTAAGAAATCTACTCTATATACTCACAGCGATCGTACTGTTAATTCGAGAGCTCAATTTAACTATGGTAAACATTCTTATTCAAGATAGATAGTTGGTAATAACATGAATATAAATATATATATAACAATCTGTAAGAAAATGAACGTAATAATTCGAATCACGATAGAGTACGGTTGTAGGTATTATATTAAGAAAATCCCGTTGATCGTAAAGTTAAAAGAGACAATTTCATCGTATAAGTGGATCTTGTTCACGAAATGCGTTCATTTTATTTCAATTCTTTTTGTCTATCTTCTTTGAGTAAAGACTGTGGATAGAGATTCGTTTACATAACCTAACTGACGAAGTCATGCAATTCTTGTTCCCAAATAAGCTTCGAAACAAATCAAAAAAGAAACTATTTTTGTTTCTCATTTTGCGAATACATTTTATATATGAACGATACGCATGATTTGAATAATAGATTTTAAACATTGTCATTCGGATATTCTTAATGAGGGACAATATGGAGGATCGCTGCGTATTCTGAATCCCTAAACGCCTTTTTATTTTATTTCGTTTCCGAGATTGGTGCAAAATTATATTAACCAAAGTCGTTTTGATTGATAACTATTTATTAGTCGTGTATTGACATGGGTGGTTATTTTGGAAGTGTCTTTTTGTGACACACAATTTTTACAAATTTATGAGTTGAAATTAGTTGTTCAAGGTGAATATTCAAGAATTTGAAAATTTGTAAATTTTTAAGTTTCTAAATTTAAAAATTTTGCAGTTGTATGATTTAAAAATTTCACAGTTGTATAATTTGTAAATTTCATAAATGTTCAGTTTTAAGACTCAGAATTTTTAAATCGTTAAATTTAAAAATTTGAAATTCTGTAAATATTGAAAATATTTACAAAATATTAAAATTTAAGATTTTCTGAATTTCTGAATTCTATAATTTGATACTCATTAATTGAAGGATTTGAGAATTATTAAATTTAATTGCACAATTAAACTGATTTGTAAAATTTGTAAATTTTATAATTTAAGAATACATCAATTTTTGAATTTAAAAATGAGAATTTTGTATTTAAAAATTTGAAGATTTAGAAATGTAAAAAATTGTAAATTTAAGTTCAATAATTCCCAATATAAACATTTGAAAATTTCTGAATTTGAAAGTTTCTTTTCCGAATCAAAACGTTTCTACTAAATATTATTTGAAAATGTATAAATTCATAAATTTGAAAGTTTGAAAAATTTTTAGAATCCATAATAATTGATACAATGCAAAAAAAATTCTTCTGGCCTCAAAAGTACCCCCTTAAATTTTTTTACGTTTATTGTATTTAAAACAAAATAATCAGAACGTACCTCTTGTTGTCCACCTATAGATTCGTCAATAGTACAAATATAACTTAAAGTATAGCGTAATTTATAGATAAACCTGGCTCAAACATAATCTAACTCAATTATTTTGCCATTTGTACAAATTAAATTAATTTAAAAAAATTGAAATTAAAATGCAAAAATTGTACTAATATTTTTATATTAATTTTTATTCAAATCAGTTTAATCAACCCTGTACCTATTTTGTAAAATGTAAATGAAAATTTATGGAATATTTAAATTTATAAATATTCAAAAACATTTAAAATTTTGTTTATCTTTTTTAAACATTTTTTTTTATTTCTGTTTCATTTTCAGTATTATAATTCTTCCTTTATTTTGCAAGATGAAATTTGTAAATTTGTAAATTAAGTAAATTATATGTATGTTACAGTTTTCCCGTATAATTGATTATTTAGTTAAAATTATGAAGAAAAGTGAGCCACGTTTATCACCGAAAGACTGAAAATGTACCTGAAATTCGCTCCCACCTTCCCCAGCCAAAACGCATGCAAAAAAATGTCTAGGTCTAACATTTTAGAGTAACAAGCATCGTCTCAGTATTCCTTTACAAATTAGCGTTGGGGTCTAGTAAAATGGCGGACGAGTCCGAACAGACTTCAGGGGCCTCATGCGGTGAAATTTGGAAACTCGGAATAAAATTCGCCATCCTTGTTTTTCTTTCTATTACCGTGTACAGAAAAAACAAGGATAGCTATGTTGCCACATGAAAGTACGATTTCTGCAGTGTGTTAAAGCTAAGAAACATTTTCTTATGCTTTCTTTTTCTTTTGCAGAATTATGCAAACCCGTCTGATTTTGCAAAACCGTACAAAAAATTACATTTTTATGTGCATCATTTTTTATGAAGTGTTGTGAAGCAAATTGAAAAATAAGGTTCTGGAACCCCATAATTACACGAGGAATATATTAAAGGTGAAAGTCCGAAAAAATATCTTGCAACAGTTTATCATCGTCTCTCGGTTTCACCGGCAGAGGTCATCAGCGCATTTCGCTAGACCCTTTCGAGAAGAATAACTTTGAGTAATGTTTACGAGGCGAAAGTTGATCGATTCAAGGTATCAGCGATTCTCAACCTGTCCCGTGGTGTTTTACCTGCGTTTTTATATTAGTCAAAACTCATCAAGTCGTCTTAAACGAATGTGCTAAAGATACATCCGACGTATCTAACAATAAGAGATTACTATTAGAACTGAGAGATTAGAGTAGGAATCCTTATCGCACGACGTTTATCCTAAAACTTGCTGCTTTTCTCTTTCCATCGCTCGGGAATTACCCGGATACGAATCCTTTTGTAAAACGATTTCTTCGACAAAATTTCGAAGCGTAAGTCTTAGCGATAAACAATTGAAAGCTCGTGAAACTCTGTTGAAAGTTTCGATTATCCCTGAGAGTGCATCGGTAAAAATGAAAGAGCCACGGATGCTTAACGAAACGTCCTAATATGTTGTTATATTTAAATTATTTAACTTTTGACATTGTAAATTAGAGCGACGAACTATACTTTGTTATGTATAATTGAAGGGAAATTATGAGAAGTATACGCGAAGGGAAACGGGATGACACGTTCACTGTGCTTTTTTTATACGGGTCATTTAAAGTCCGTATTAAAATTTTATTTTTACAGGATATGTACATACGCCCTCTATAAATTTTTGCCACTACTGAAGTTTCGTGTACGGTAATTTGAGAAATATGTGACTATTGCGTGGAGCTGGAAAGAAGTCACTTGGAACTAGAGGATACGATTTTCTTTAGGTACTTGCAAATTTTTAATTAATATTCTGGGATACTTTGAGAAAATTAAGAAAATCAGAAATAAATTTATGAAGTATTGTGGAAGTTGGTTAAACAATTTTCCTATAATTTATTTTATTATATTAACCATTTGTTATAAAATTTATAATTTCTGTAGCTATTTCTAAATTTTTTATTTTTAAATTTAATAATACACAAATCACTGAATTTCTAAATTTACTAATTCATAAATCAATGAATTTCTAAATTTAATAATTAGCAAATTAATGAATTTATAAATTTAATTGTGTACAAATCATTAAGTTCATCAATTTCTAACATTTTAATCTTAAAAATTCGAGAAGATGAAAATGGAAAACTTCTACATTCCTAAATTTTATAATCTTCAAATTCCAAGATAAGAAAAATTGAAAATTTTATATTTCAGTTCTTCTTAATATTTATATTAAGAATCATAAGTTTTTAAATTTCCAAATCCGAAAATTTGAATGTGGGAAAGTTATTAAATTTTGTGACTGTTAGATTTGACTAATTACAAAAATGTACAACATATGTATTCTCCATGACTGACTCAAATGAAACGGCCTATTCCAACCATTTAAATTTATATTTGTTCCAAGTGCCAACTTTCCAGCTCCATAGGATGTGGCTGCTCGATAAACGGTTGCTCCAGCAATCCTAAAATGTTTTACTAGAAAAAGAATCACTTATCAAGTTATCATTGATTTTCATCATTTTCATTTTTTGTATATGAACTAATTTTTCCAAAATATTCATTACTTTGCAAAGCAATCGAATAGAACGTAACTGCGTGAGCGAGAAGTATTTAATATTCATCTATTTGACGTTCATTTATCGAGCGGTCACTTTATCACATACGTTTCTGGCGGTACGAGATTAATATGATACGTTTATTTTTCACCTAAATATGGTAGCTTTCCTTTTTAATGTTTTATTGCTCTATTTTTCCAGCATTTTTAAACAAGAGTTAATTTTAAAAAAGTTTGTTGAAACCTGAATCAATGAAAACAAAAATTAACAAACTACCACGTCATTGTCAAGATAAAACAAAGGTTCAGAAAAGTATCGACCGTCAGAAAGAATAGAAATAGTCACATGTGTGTGTTCTGTGTCACAGTGAACGTGTTAAGAAATACAGGGTGATCCACCTAAATGTACCACCTAAAACTTGTGCTACGTAAGAAAATTCGTTTAAAACGAAAATTCTGTTATCGACAGAGAAACACTCGACGTATATCTATTTCATTATTAAGTTACTGTTTTCAGCAAGCTATGACCTTCAGTTTTTAAACTATAATTAGGAAATTTAAACATGTTTAAAAAATTAATGCTGAGTAAAAAACTTTCACGGGTTTAAAAATAAATTACCGAGATCTTCTCGAACGACTTCGAGTCTGTGTTTTGAAACACATTCCTCAAAAGCATCGATTTTTGAAAGGTAATCGAACATAAAAATATAAAAATTGAAAGACATGGGGATAGTGAGGACCTAGTACCTAATGTCTTATAGTAATTTAGGTGGCGCTTAGGTGAATCCTGTATAAAAGAGCAGTGCACGATAAAAGATGCCGTTGTAAACTAAACAATGGACATCGAATGGCTGCTGAGAGGTTAGGATGTAATTACGAAAATGGGATACGAAGTTTGTATTAGCGAATTTGTAATTGAACTAGTGACCCGCAGAATGCGCCTATTTAAAAACGTTGAATCATGTTCACTGATTAACTGGCGGCTACCGCATATATCGAGGTACACATTACAAAAACAGCAACAAAGAGAAAAAAAATGTTACTATTTAGAAACTTGAGAACACGTTATAGAGTATAAAAAAGGCTTTAGTGTATATAGTTTTGTAAAGTGTTAACGGTGTATAGTTACGAGGAAAAAGAAACAAAAAAATAAAAAAGAAAAAAGACAAAAGACCTGCCCAGTGTCGAGACAAGGCGTTACATTTGCGATTAGTCATGGTCGATTTAAAAAAAAATAGTCAATGGATTTTTATCGCGATACCAAGACTCACCGGACGTAAACCGATGACAATGAGCAATGGCACAAAGTACGGCGCACCATGAACTTCATTGAGGGAATTGTTGTGATGATAGTGTTTTACGCATGATGATCGTTTTCGTTATGTGTTAGCTGCGTTTACGCATATGTAGGTATGCATGCGTTACACGCGCACACGCACACGTATACGTAAAAGCAGAGATGAAGTTAATCCGTTGCATACATATGTATAATAATATGTGATACATGCGTAATATTTTAAGCTGTCAATAGAATGTCCTAATACCAAATATATGATAGTGAGATTAAACCGTGCGTCGTTATTACCTGTTCTCACCTATATGCATATACAGGGTGGCTCACCACATTTTGCCATCTAGATTTGCGTCATTATTATTACTCATAGCAAACAATGTTTCAGATGAAATTGAATGGTTTTGAAAGAAGCATGTGTTGATGGTATATTTTTTTTGTAGGTGGACGTGTAAACGACATATGAAGGTCATTAATGTTTTTCAAATAGAATGATATATTTTTTACTGCATTAGCTGTTACTCCTTCATATTCTTTATGAAAAAATTTTAATCTCTTTATGTGACAAAATCTTTAGTTTAGGAGATATTTTAATTTTAATGTCCATTTACAGAAAAGGTTCAATGTGACCACCATTCGCATCAGAACACTTTCTGAATCGAGAAATTAATGACTTACTAACATTCCGTAGTGTATAATCTTTCTGCATGTGTAGCACTTTTCCCAGCTTCAAAATAACTGATAACATGTCTATCTTTTCTTCTTTAGAATAGTTCATTATGAAGTGATAATTCACCGCAACGTCGTATTCATCGTATTAGAGACGTAACAGAGACAAAATTTCACTGTTATTGTGTAACAAAAAAATAACAAAAACTCACAATTCGTTTGGTGACACGTGACCTCTCAAAGCATGTAGAAAAACATTTGCTGTTCAGTTAGGGCAATTCATAATATTGACCAGTGTAGAAAAACATTTGCTGTTCAGTTAGAGCAATTCATAATGTATTGACCAGAAAGTCACGATTTCCTAGCAAGTTAGAATTAAAATATCTTCTAAACTAATGATTTTTTCACATAAATAGATTAATACTTCTTTGTAAACAATATGAAGGAGTATCATCTAATGCAATAAAAAATATATAATTCCATTTAAAAAAGCATTAATGACCTTCATATATCCTTTACATGTCTACCTATAAAAAAATATATCGCCAGCATACGCCCCCCTCATAACCATTCAACTTAATCTAAAAAATTGTTTGCTATGAGTAATAATAATGATGTAAATCTATATGGCAAAATGTGGTGAGCCATCCTGTATGTATCTAACTGTTCTTGTGGTTACTTTTTTATTACTCTTATTTAGGTTTCAAAACTGAAAATTAAAATGGAATAGGAGTAACTTACAAGAGGAAAAAATGAGCGTGTAAATTGAATTTTGTATAAAAGTACATCGAAGGTGTAGTATGGATGCTGTATCATAATATGTCTATGGGTTTGTACAGAATGGGCTTGGATTTTAAAATATTTTGAGTTTTAATTTAAACGAATGATAGTCATTAAGTTATACAGGGTGTCTTATAATTAGTATAGGTCCCTGAAATGGTAGGTAGCTGACATGATTCCGAATAAGATTTCCCTTTCCAGAAATGGGGTTTGGAGCTTCGTTTTCGAATTATTAAGGAAGAACACGGACAAATCAGAGCGCGAGTATTACGCTTGATTTTTGGATTTTTGTGAGAAATAGGAGATTTGAAGCTTGAGAAATCGGAGACGTATGGAATTTGGGACTTGAGAAATTGGGACTTGTCGAATTTGGGAACATGGAGAATTTGAAACTTGTGAAATAGGGGACTTGTGGAATTGGGGACTTATGGAGTTTGGTAATTGTGGAATTGGGGACGTACGGAATTTGGGACTTATGGAATTGGGGACATGTGGAATTGGGGACTTGTGGAATTGGGGACATGTGGAATTGGGGACATGTGGAATTGGGGACATGTGGCATTGGGGACATGTGGAATTGGGGACATGTGGAATTGGGGACTTGTGGAATTGGAAGCTTGAGTAATTGGAAACTTGTGGAGTTGAAGATATGGAAATGGGGACTTGAGAAATTTGGGACTTGTGGAATTGGGGATATGTGAAATTGATACGATATAGATACCTGCTTATAAACTTAACTGTCACCGGTTGAATCCAACAAAAAATATATTTTTCTTGCAATTTTTATTTCTTTCAATTTATATCTTCTTTTTCTTTCAATTTGTACGTACAGTGTGTATATGGTTGTCCAATTTATCGGACACTAGATGTTCCCACCACTAATTCATATCAACTAGATGAACAAAACCGTCTAATGACATGATTGTTATATTATATTCTCTTACAAAAAATTTAATTTGAACTTATTTACGACAACGAATATTTTTAGGCACCTAATACAAACAAATAATGATTTAATTTTCAAATTAATGGTATTGATAAATTTGTTAATTTAAGCATTCAAACTTTTGAATACAAGATCACAGAATTATGGTAGCTTGTAATACTGTACACTTTTTTGAAAGACGCGATTATTTTCGATATAGTCTAATATTTTTGAACGTGAAATTAATTTGTTCAGTAACAACGGCAACGATGTGCAGGGCAGCTCGGTGGATATACAAGACATTTATCCATACAGTATACACTTGCACCGTCTCGGCCAGCGATTTCTCCGATTGCGTCGCACTGTTCCCTGTTAATGAACAATAACGAATTATTAAAATAATACATTATTGCCTAAAAATCATGTTAAATACTATTATTTAATTTCTTAATTTGAGAATTCAGTGATAAGTTCAATGATAAGTCCGAGTTGACTTTGGAGGCCTCTTGCGGCGAAACTGAGAAACTTAACACAAGAATTAGCGATCTTCTTTTACCCGCATAGCTTTAAACAAGAAAGACAAAGACAGCAGCAATGTCGGTATTATCTTTTCAGAAATATTCTGTAATTTGGATTTTTAAACTTTATAAACGATATTTTTATGTACATTGATTTTTTATAAAATTAAGTCAATTTTTGTAATTGATTTTTTGTAAAAATTTAAATTTAAAATCAAAATGTATACTAATCAAAATAATTGTAATAATAATGAGTAACATGAAAAAGTTAGTACGAGAAAATATTTCTTCTTCGTTTCGAAATCTTGCAATAGCAAAATTGTTTATAGCTTTGTACCTTCTATAGCAGTACAAAAACTAAAGGTTCGACAATTTCTCCTGTAACAAGATTCATATTTACGGCACCAGAGGTCTCCAACTCCACTAAATGCTGATAAATATTGATTCAATTCAATATTCAGTTATATAAATCGAGTAAACAATTATTAATATGAATATCTCAACATACGGGCATTGGCAAATAGCTGCCGGACAATTTGGTGGGTATCGGAGACAGTTAATTTGACACCAGTCATTCATTCCTGGAATACGACGGTAAAGAGAAGTAGCTAAGCACACTTGAGATCTGAAATTAAAAACACATATTATGTTTTGTATCTTTGCGTTTCTTCCACTTATGTAAAATTTTATTTTTGAGTTCAAAATAGATTTATAATCATTTTTTTTTATTAAAAGTTATACGTATATTGTACATTTAATATTATCTATGTAAATTTATATTTACATTAATGTTACAGATTTAATATTACAGAGAGGGCAATATTTTACATGAAAGTTAATAGACATTAGTTACATGTTATATTGTTGCGCGTTAGATGACCACGCATTATATCACTACTTGCTTTACCGCCGTGTGTTAGATCTCTAATTTTTAAATACTAACAATAATAACGATCTAAACTGCTATATGTTAGATTATCGGAAGTTAAACTGCCACGCGTTATATCGCCAAGCATTATATCACCATGCGTTATACAGTCACACATTATATCGCCATGAGTTAGATCACCACATGTGATAGACCACTACGCGTAAGGTTACCATGCGTTATACAGTCACACGTTATATCGCCATGAATTAGATCACCACATGTGATAGACCACTACGCCTAAGGTTACCATGCGTTATACAGTCACACGTTATATCACCACGAATTATATCGCCACATGTGATAGACCACTACGCGTAAGGTTACCATGCGTTATACAGTCACACGTTATATCACCACGAATTAGACCACCACATGTGATGTACCACTACGCATAAGATTACCACGCGTTATACAGTCACACGTTATATCGCCACGAATTATATTACCACATGTAATAAACCACTACGCGTAAGGTTACCATGCGTTATACAGTCACACGTTATATCACCACGAATTATATCGCCACATGTGATAGACCACTACGCGTAAGGTTACCATGCGTTATACAGTCACACGTTATATCACCACGAATTATATCGCCACATGTGATAGACCACTACGCGTAAGGTTACCATGCGTTATACAGTCACACGTTATATCACCACGAATTATATCGCCACATGTGATAGACCACTACGCGTAAGGTTACCATGCGTTATACAGTCACACGTTATATCACCACGAATTATATCGCCACATGTGATAGACCACTACGCGTAAGGTTACCATGCGTTATACAGTCACACGTTATATCACCACGAATTATATCGCCACATGTGATAGACCACTACGCGTAAGGTTACCATGCGTTATACAGTCACACGTTATATCACCACGAATTATATCGCCACATGTGATAGACCACTACGCGTAAGGTTACCATGCGTTATACAGTCACACGTTATATCACCACGAATTATATCGCCACATGTGATAGACCACTACGCGTAAGGTTACCATGCGTTATACAGTCACACGTTATATCACCACGAATTAGACCACCACATGTGATGTACCACTACGCATAAGATTACCACGCGTTATACAGTCACACGTTATATCGCCACGAATTATATTACCACATGTAATAAACCACTACGCGTAAGATTACCACGCGTTATACAGTCACATGTTATATCGCCACGAATTATATTACCACATGTAATAAACCACTACGCGTAAGATTACCATGCGTTATACAATCACACGTTATATCGCCATGAATTAGATCATCACATGTGATGGACCACTACGCATAAGATCACCATGCATTATATAACTACACGTTATATCGCTGTTATTTAGTCACACGAATAAGATCACCACAGGTTAGATCGCCACATATTCGATTGTCACGCGTTAGTTCGACACGCGTTGGATCACCACGCGCTATATCATCAAACGTTAGATACCCGCGCGTTATATCGGCAATTTTTAGATAGCCGTGTGTTAAGTCGCCATAAGATGTATCATCACATGTTAAATTGCCCCGCATTGCATTACTACGAGTTGTATTGTTATACATTAGTTCACCATGCGTTAACCAGTTAAGTGTTTTTGACGACTATATTCGTCATGGAGATGTGGCAGAATTTTGTGTCATACTATATCCGTCATGCGTAAAATTTTGTTACAATTTGATATTTAAATTGTAATTTTGACGAAAACTAAATTATATTCGTAAATTGTAATATGTTTAAAATGTTTAGAGGTCAACACGAAATGAAATAAACAAATAAAAAGTATAAATGATTTGAGATGGATTCGTAAATTCTTGAGAGCTAACTCGTCATCGCTTGATTATCGCGACACACACTGGTGCGCGTTTTGTAAAAAGATCACCATAGTTGACTGGTTAAAGCACCACGCGTTATATAGCCACACGTTAGTTCACCACGAATTACTTATACGAGTATATCCACTAAATCGCAAAATTCTCATTTTGTGTCCCCGTAGCCGTGCCCATGTAAATATATTACATCCATTAATTTCAAGAATACGTACCTAACAACAAGAGGAAATATATTATTAGGAGAACGATAATCCTTGTAGTAAAGTAAAAAGGGATTATCCTGTTGCACAAAGAGCGGTGGTACACCAGCTGTACTTGTAACGATGCTTACGTCGGCACAGTTTCGAAATGTTTCTGGTCTTCCACATCCGTTTGCTTCGGTTCCATTTTCACAAGTACCCCACATATTACCTAATTTAAAAAGATTACACAAATATTTAATATACAAAGTCACAAACGTTTATCCCTTGAAAGATGTCAGTGTCACTATTATTTTAATTGATTACGTTGTGACAACGTAAACAAATGAAAGAATAAAAATGATCAGAAATTAACACAAACCGGTATAGTAATTCCACTGTATCACACATTGGGAACAGGTAACATAAGCCGGTAATGTTACCCTGTACCGAAATATGGCCTTCCTTTCTGTTTCTATAGGAATCTCGAAACGAACGTCCCTGGTTCCGGAAACGTATAGTGGATATCTAGAAAAGAAAATACAGCATGCATTTAACATTTATTTACCTTTATTGAGTAGAGACGTTCTACTCCGGTCTATAAAAATTTTCACACTAAAAAGTAATAAATATTCAATGTATTCTGTAATTATATTCGCTTACACTCTTGGTTTAAATTATTTAACAATAAGTTTTGATTTTGAGAAAATAAGTAGAATGACTAACTGTACTTTCACATATTAAGATCACCGTATTTCTTGAACTAATAGTGATTTTAAATTACTGGAAATGTCAAAAAATGACTACAAGTTTAGTTTTAATTACTTAAGTTTCAAAGTTTTTTGTTAAAGTTATTGAGAAAAATTAAATAAATCTTTTCTTGAATAAAGAAGAGAGTTTATATGCGTAACGCGCAACGGGTATAGCGCGCATGCGCAGTACTTAAGGTGTAGTGCGCATGTGCTGTATTAACGCATGCGCGCTACCTCTAGTTTATTCAAGACGGGTACTGCAAGATTAGTCAAAAACTTTTCGTTCATAACAATTCGTTAAGTGAAATTTATTTTAAAGATAGTCATATGTATTACATTTTTTTGATATTATAAAAAGCCTTCTGTACCTGTCAAAACAATCTTGACTTGCTTCGCTCCTTGGATTGTTGTTTGGACAAAGATAGATTTCGAAACGACCCAGATGGTTTGCTGTTAATTCTATTTCAACATCAATATCCTGTGAATTTAAATAATCTCATGGAAGAACATGATACAGCATGCTACTTGATGATACGACACGTTTACTGCCATGTAAAATACTACAAAAGGACTAAAAAGAGAAAATACTACAAAAGAAAAAAATGTATAGTGTGCATCAGTGATTTAAGTTAAACGGCTTATGGCAGTTAAGATGTTCACATGTTCTGTGACACGTGTTTATCAGAAAATAATTTTAATGAATTATTGGAAAATATTTTTCAATTTTATTTTGTATAAGCAGCAATAAAATTTGAAATGAAAACATAATTATCATTTTTCAAGACCATTGGTCCCTCAATTTACAAGGCATTCTATTCAGAAGTTGATAATTTAGTAACATCAATATTACTTGAATAATTTATTGAGAATGATAGCATTATTATTTACAAAACACTATTTCATTTTGACTGTCGTTTGTAGTCTTTTTCAGATATTTGTAATTATAAAATTTGACTCAGTAACTAAAATTTAAATGGAATTATAAAATAATATATAGAATATATAAAATTTACAATAAAAAATATAGGTATTTATTATTTTATATAAATTTTAAGAGCCTCGTTAAAAGTATGAGAGTTGGTAAGGCAAGATATTTAATTGATTTATTTTTGTAAGCAACATTTTTTTTATAAAATGGTTTTTATATTTAATGTATAAAACACATTTAATCAGTGTTAAGTGTTTAATGCAACGTATAATTAAGTTATGTATAATTTTTTTTTTTTATAAAAACCATTCATATTCCAGGAATACGTTTTATTTTCATTCAAATTTACCGCGTAAAAATTGAATACTGCCTACTTGAGAGACCTCTAAGATAGTATAATATCCCGTGATCGTAATCTGTTACGTTACATCGAAAAGTATTCAAAGTCAACGCTATTAATCAATTCAGGTAATTTATGTGGTCCCTTACTAATTTTTACTTAAATCCTACTATTATTAATATTTTCTTTACCGAAAAATTGTTTAAGTTATATCGAAAGAAAACAGAAACAGTATCTAACCTATAAAGTGAAACAATATCATTATATTTACTAAATCAGTGACTTCACGACTCTTCAAATAGTGAAAATTAATATTACTAATTATTAATAATACAATATACAGTTATACAAATGTACAATTATTTTGTATATATAATTTTTAAGAATCCAATTACAGCATAATATAAGCAGGTAAGTACGGACATGTATTTTATCAATTCCTTATTTATATCATTCAAAATTTATACATGTTTCTTATATTTTAAAACGTCGCTAAATATAAATAAACGATAATTTATTTAAAACTCAACAAATAAAAAGTTTCATATTGTCTGAATTTGACGATTCTTCGATTATAATATAACCTTATTGGGCGCCAACGAATAATTTAGTTTCCTTCTTTCGTTCGGTATACGTCTTAATGGTCGATTATTTTTCATCACAATCGATTCGTGTCGGGTTTCGATATAAGCTGTGGATCAGGTTAACGTATCCTTCGAAATTAGTCCCGGATTCCAAGTGTTTTAGGAACCGGAGACTTGTTTTAGCATTAGTCACTCGTAATAAGGCTCTTAACATACCTGATTCTTATGCTGAAACCCGATATCTGACGAATATACAACATAGATATCGTTGCTAGTTACAGTGAATCAAAAAAGCATTAACGTGTCGAATCATAGTTACTAAAAATTATACAGGGTGAGTCAGTACTAATGAACACCTGGAGTAATATATGTATGCATACTTTATCTGATGACTTTTACAAAAAATAATTTAAGTGTTTAGTTTGTTTTTTGTAAATAGATAAATATTATTTAGGGAAACTTGAATGAATTAATAAAAATTTGTCACTTTTATAAAACAGTAAAAAATAATAATAATTTTAAAAACTTTGAAGGACGTCATTGAGTAAGTATTAATTTTTAGTTGAATGAAAACTAGCTATTATTGCACTTTAAAGGCATTTCTAGAAAAATGAAATGATTGTAAAGTATTAATTTTTAATTGTTCTAAATGTAAATGTTTAATAAATGGTATGCAAATAAATGTAACAAAAATAGAATACAGTATCTTATGATACAATGTTGTATTTTATAAAATTGATGTTAATTAATATAAATAATTTAATTGATTGATATTTATTCATATTTATTAGTGTTTTATTTGATAAAATTAATTGTTTATCAATTATAACACCAGCTAATAAAAAAATGTATTGTCAGTATTAAAATAAAATAATAATGAGATATCACAAATTATTTTTATTAGGAGATCCAGATAATCATTCACTAAACAATAAATAATATAATAATTTGTTCTCCAAAAATAGGTGCGCTAGTGCCTTTTTGATTTGTTCCATAAATTAAAGAAAGATAAGTTTACAAAATTTAAGAATATTAGTAGTATGAATAAAAGCTTGTTTATTAAGTGTAATCTGTGTTACTTTTTAAGATGAATTGTTCTACATAAATAAAGGAAAAGTAAATTACCTGGCCAACGGTGTAATGTCTAACAATGGTTCCTTTTGCATATTCTCCGCCTGCTTCGTGTGGTCGTGGCGTTTTCAGGTGATAAGCATCACCACATACACCACACTCGCCATTGTTCTGCACCCATTGAACTAAATAACAATACTTCTATAATCTCTTCTTACATTGCATAAAAATAATGTCCAGTGTAAATCTTTTCTTACATTTACAATAGACTGTCGATATAATTTCATGAACGGGAATATAGCAACGAAAAATTATAGAAGTTATCAACAACTCCTAGATTTGTCTAACCTATGTTACACGTTATGTTACCTAACCTAATCAAAGTTAAATGTCAATTATGTTATCTAACCTAAAGTACTTGTAAATTATCTTACATGACAAATATTATTGCACAATAAAATAATGTGAAACCAAAATTGTATGATGGTAAAGATTGAACCAGTATTGCTGGTTTGCTAGTATGGCAATATAAATAGAGGCTATTATTTCTATTACAATTATTGTAATTTCTATTACAATTGTTTGTAAATTGTGCATGAAACATTTTTATCTCTTGAAACAATGATTTTAAATAAAAATTGTACAAATAATATAAAAAAGATAATCGCTGTATTAGATAAATAGTTTATTGATAATTTACAAAGATGGCAATATAACGAGAGTCTGCTGCACAATTTTTATTATGTTATTGACATAATTTGATGATCTTAAACTAGAAAAGTAGCACTTATGTTAATGTGAAGCTTAATATTTATTAGAAATGAGTGGCGAAACTTTTACTACAAAATGGCTGACTGGCAATTATAGGAAACAATGAATTATGAAAAATTGAAAGTCTGATACAAAGATATAAATGAAATAGTAAAATAATAGTTTTAAGCTTAATTATTAAAAATTGCAGAAGTTTTATTATAATGTTTTTAATACAAATTCATTGTCAAAGAAATTTTTTAATAATAAATTAACCAGAAGATTTCTATATGAAACATTTGTATTAAATACAGTAATAAAATTTTGTTGCAACAATAACACTTTCTATAAACTTGATACTTTAAATTATAGTATAATATAATATTCATATACATATTTAAATTGTAAAATATAATATGAATAGCAAAATCAGTCATTTAATCTGCAAAAATTTAATAAATTATGACAAATTTTCCTCAAAAGTGATACAGAAACAGCAAATCAATAATGTTATATAAAAAAGTCAATTTATATGATAACATTATAATTTTTAAATCATATGAAAATTTGATTTATAATTTGTTTATAAGTTTTATATTTCATACAGCAAGTTACAAATTTTTTTTAATTTTATTTACAGACTTCTTTATAATAAATAAACTTATTAAAATATTAAGTAAAATTTATCAAAAAGTAACAAAATATGGCAATAATTCAGCAGTAATTGTTAATTAGAATATATTCTGTTATCAAAAGAAAAGCTATAAATATTCATTCTTTGAACGTCGAACCTCTTTCGCCGGCTTTGTGGTATCATTAATGCCACAAAATGCCATCCATTAACCGGTTCGCGATTTCGGTTATCCACAGTCCTTAATTTATTAACAAAGCACGGTAATTTGTTACGACACTTTTCTGTTTGCATTCGAAGTATGCACAGTCGAGTTCAGAATAACCTTTTTTCAATTGGATAAACGTAAGTTTCAAAATTTCTAAAATTGCAGATTTGAAAACTTCTAAATTTCAAATCTGAAAATTTTTGAATCTACAAATATTCAAATCTGAAAATTTATAAATTTAGAAGTATTTTAATTAAAAAATGACTAAATTTAAAAATACCCAAATTCGAAAATTTCGAAATCTACAAATATCCAAATTCGAAAGTCTCGAAATCTACAAATATTCAAATTTAAAAATTTCCAAATCTACAAATATTCAAATCCGATAATTTATAAATGTATCAATATTTCGGTTAGAAAATGACTAAATTTGAAAATGTCAGAGTTCAAAAATTTCTAAATCTACAAATATCCAAATTCAAAAAAGTCGAAATTTGCAAATATATAAGTTCAAAAGTTTCTAAATTTGCAGACATTCAAATTGGAAGATTTCTAAATTTTTAAATATTTAAATTAGAAAATTTCAAATTATGAAATCTAAATCTTGTACGTCCTTTCTCTATAACCTTGAATGACCTTGAGTGACTACAGTCTCTGAATTTCTAATAGACTGACCTATCATCGCAGGTGTCTGAATATGGGTGGTCCCATTTTAAAAAGCAATGGCGACCTTGATTGTATGCGTACAAAATTTGTATTTAGTGGTTTTGAAGATGTGTCAAAATAAAAGCCGAATAGTCTTTGTGTATAATTGAGGATCCAAATATCGACTACCGCCGTAAACGTTATTTGTTTTATAAAAATTGTTAAATATTCAAAATTATAAATTTAAAAGTTCGAAAAATTGAAAACACTGAATGTTCAAAAATATTTTAAATTTGATAATTCAACAAGTTAAAAAATTAAAGATTGCAAAAATATCAGATTTTCAAGTTTACAAATAAGCAACCAAAGTGACTTTAAAACAAAATTTAAAGTTATTATTTTTATAGAGTATAGGTAATTATTAATTATATTTAAATATATATTAATTTATATTTAAAGTATAGATAATTATTAATTATATTAATTTATTGGTAATTATATTCATTATATTGAACAAACCTGCATATCCGCCACAGAAGAGCTCATTGTCATTGTAATTCACAGGATTCGGATATCCAAAACGCCACATACTGTTCCTCGCTGGTGGATCCATTAAACGTCCATGACCATTTACGTAAACGTAATTAAGAACCTTTATAATCATTTTTTATTATCATAAATATTTTAATCTTTTGGTAACACGAAAAGACTAACTGTTTAATTTACAAATAACAAGAAATTTAAAAAGCATAAGAATTAAAAATTTTCAAATCAAAAAATTCACAAGTGACTCACAATTGTACCTTTTTCGTGAACGTAGTGTACGTCCATAGTTATCATAGTTATACTATGACTATTATAGTATAAATAAAATTATATTAATTTGTTATTAATGAAATTACATTCATTTTCAGTCAATAAAATTACTATATATTAGTAGTTCTATAATCTGAATATTGTAATAATATTACAACATAAATTTATATTATATTAATTATCACTTTATAATATAATATTCTATATATTATAAAGTAATATGTTCATATTATTACTATTATACTATTATAGTGATTATATTGTCACTACTATGCTGTTATTATGATACTATTATATCAATTATACTATTATTACAATTGTTATAATGAACAATGTATAATGGTTATTTTAAGTTTCTGAGTTGCCCTTCTATGTCACATACTCTATGGCTATGTAGATTTCCCGCGCATTTCCCGCCACACGCCATATACGTAGTTTATTTTGTTCAGTATTGAAAGTGTCAGTCGAGGACGCACGTGTTTTTTTTGCAGAACTAATTCATATTAAACTAATAATCTAATACTTCTATTGTTTGCTTATATAGACCTCTTGTCACTAATTATATTATTAATTATAATCCTATTATTGTGATTAATATTACTATATTACTATATTACTATATATAATATTACAAACATAATATTATTATGGTCAATCCGAACGAATAACCTCGTTAACCAATTGCATTGTGATTTAAAAATGATTCCTATTAAATTTACGATATTGCATAATAAAGAGCTCTTACAAGCCCTTCAACACCTGCACGAAAGGTTCTTAAACTACAAAAACCGTTTTAACGAGTGATGGTGTCATGAAGCCTATGGACATCAAATATAAATTACTCAACTGAATACCTTCTTTAATTATGGGTTGCCGTCTGCACATGGTGTTATAATGGTAAACTTTCCTTGCCGGTGGCAAGTACAAGCCACAATCGTATAAAGGTTACGTCATCGAAGACGATTTTTCTTTACACTTGAACCAGTTGAGACAGTTATCATATGTGTGAACAAAATTATGCACGAATTGCGTAATACTGTTTTATGGTGTGAAATCAAAGTGTGCAGATATCGCGTTTTGTGCCTGTTCATTAAAATAATTAATGTATTTATTAATTCTGGTAGTTACCTGTGTGTCGTGTATAACATAAGTAATGACTTAGTGAATTCTGTTAATTACCATGTATAACATAATTAATAAAGTGAATGCACATAACATGATTATTAAAATAATTATACATAGAACGATTAATAGTATAATTAACTGCATGTAGCATAATTAATTATATAATTAACTATATTAAGTTAATAATAATATTTACTTAATATTAATATATAATAATATTAATAATACTAATAATATCAATTTATTATATTATAATTCATAAAATATTTGACTATGTTAAGTTAAGAATAATACAAAATTAATTAATAATATAATTAATTGTAATTAAGATGTTCACTTGTAAATTGTTAATCAGCTCAAAAATAAGAAATGTTGGATTATTTTAGGTCAACTTTGAGACTGATAAAATTTTTAGAACTATTAAAGAGACACTCATCATTACTGTTGTTAAAATATTGAAAAATATTAATATATTAAATATTATTATTTTAATAATTATGGAATTCTAATTTAAAAATAAATATTTTAATATTTATCAAAGTATTAAAAAAGCAGTAATGGTCTAATCAGTAATTAATAATAAGTGAAAATGATTCATCATTAATTAATATCAAATTAAAATATGATAAATAAATATTAGGTGATAAAATATTTGATAATATTCTTGTAAGACTACTTTTATACAAAATCGTTCTTTTTTGTTGATTTTAATACGTTAAATTTTACTTACCTGAAAGTAAAAACATGTTGCTACGAGAAAGATGCTCCTACACCGATGTCTGGTTATCATATTCACCTATAAATTGAAGCATAAAAGAATTCTTATAATATGCGTGTAATTTTTTAATATTACTTTATACAAAATATTAGTAGAGCAGCATACTATAAAGTATACTACTGATAAAGATTAGCTGTTTTCATTTTTAATTAACTTATTAATATAAATGATTTTATTTTCATCTCATTTTCATTTATTTATCTAACAATTAATTACAACAGAAATTATTTTTAATAATCAATTATTGCTCAAATTATAATTAATTAATTGTTTAAAAAATCTTGAATTTTCACATTTTTTCAAAATTTGTTGTCTTGAATAATTGAAACGAAAAATTAAATATATTTCTAACAATACATAACACTAATATTAATATATTAATATTTATAAATTATTATATCAAAAATTAGAACAATTTTATCACTTTTAAAATATTAATGATGAAATGTATTTACATTATAAATTGCAACTCTTATAACTTTAATTATAACATAACTTTTATTACTGATCTACCATTGCAGGATTTATTTAAAAAATATCGCAGTAAATTAATATTTTATTTGACTTGAAACACCCTGTATATAAGAACGTACGATAATTGGATTTCTTTCTCTAATAAAAGCCGAAATGCCACTAATGATATTCATGAAATTGTCTATCGAACTAATCTGGAAATTAACGACTTGTTCTGACATTCGGAATAAAAAAGTCACTTATAAGTTCCTTATCTATGCATATTAAAGGATCAGACGAATTAAGGAGCATCGTGAATAAATTAAAGGCAGCCTTGAGTCAGTTAGTAGCAATAAAATCTTGCGTAAGAAAGTTGAAGGTACGTGTATGGTGCCAATCGGGTCGAATTACGACAATCAATGGAACTTCTAGAGTTCTTCATTATGTCATGTATCGGTTGTTTCGTATAGCTACATGTTACCGAAAACATAACCTTAATTTCAATCTTCAATTTATTCACGTAACATTAATACTAATCTTGTTTTTGTTCAAATAATTTTAATCTTAATTTTCTAAAAATATCATACATACTTCATTGTATTTTGTATAATATTAAACAATCGTGCAATATAAACTAAAGTGTATTATCGTAAAATTCCACATATATTTAACTTTTATTAATAAACAATTTAATTTATTATAATTATTATATTTCATTGTAATAATTTTTATTAATAAAGTAAATACTTGTTATAATTTCACGTAAAAGGACTAATAATATTAAAAGAAATAAGTTGAATATTAAGTTAACTAAAGAAGTTAATTATATGACGAATAAGTGAAATTGAATCATGAGTTTATGTAATAAGTTAATTGATACTATGTAAGTATATATACATAAGGCTGTCATATTGTTTATAAACTTTGTGTGAGATTCTAATAAAAAAATCTTCTCTTTACTATTATCTACTCTTTTTTGGCTGTTCAATGTTTATTATGTATATAATTTAACTTAAATATCTTTTTCAGAAGTTACTCTTCGAAAAACGCTTACTTTTCTTGACATCCCTTCTCTTTGAATTTAAATTTCCCACGGAAAAGTGAACACAACCTATTTGTAGTGCCTGTCTTGTGAAGTGCAACATGGTTAATGTGTCACATCCAAACATATTTAAAACTAACTCTATTCATTAATTTAGGTATTTTATGCATACCCATCTTAATACTTATTTAAGTTTCAATCCCATTAATATTTTGCTTCACTTAAAATCGTTTCTACTTGGATGGAAAAAAGAAAAAGCGGAATCTAACCTACAAAAATGCAACACCATCCCATCACCCTTATTAAATCTATGATTTTACAGCTGTGCAAACAACGAAAATTAATTAATACTATTATTAATTAATTAATAATATTGTTAACAATTAATGATAGACGTGTACACATAGTTCTCAAAAATATAAACAGGTAAGTGCTAATGTTCTTTTATTTCTTCAGTACATTACTTATAACTTTTGTATATTTTTCATGTTATTATATAATTATATTTAAGTTTTAATTGCGGAATCAATATCTATAGTTTTTGATAATAATATGTTAAAAGGTTTATAAGTGATAGTTGAAGGATAATAAATTTGAATGAATGCGAGGTCCTATGTTGAACAAAGATTGTTCTTGAATCGTAATCAATATTATACTTTAATTTAATATTAACAACTAATACTGATATTTGATATTAACATTACCTTGATAATAGTTTAATAGTTAAACATCTTTAAATAACTATTAGGATAATTATGAATAAACATATAACTAAAATCAGTTATTTTAAAAGTCTATTATCTTTCTTGAAACTTTTATATGCGCAGAGTAGTTTTTATCCTAATTATAAACCGTAATCATAGTATGTGAAGTTATAATTACTTCAATGTTCTTAACAAAATAAATTGATCTAACAAAATGAAGAAGTTTTTTCATTTTACTTTTATATAATAAAAAGTGTTAAAAGTTCATTTTAAATTTTGAATCATATTGTTAATATCAATTCTGTTAAAACATAATAGTGTCAAATAGGGAAATGTATGTATTCCATATATCGCAGTTTCATTTCTAATGTAAAAATCATGCTTGACATCATGTTTGACGAAGGTTAAGCCTAAGTACCGAATACAATTAGCATACATTATAGTTGACATTAAATAAATCTAGTGTTAATCGAATCCAACGGTGATACCGCGATAGTACACGTGAGTCATCATATTGATAAAGTAAGTGCGGTGGTATAAAACTAGTTATCAACGCGTGTATCACGTATCTAAAAATGTTTCGTACTTCCGAATACATCAATTGTCACGGGTTGACATCATATTTAAAAGCTCATGCACACGTGTTGGTGACACACACAATTTGGACGATACAAAAGTTTATAAAACATTATTCAAAGATAAATGAATTACATGCTGTTATTTAGTCGTAATGCACATTATCGTACTACGTGCGTCCGATGAGTAGACAGCTAGAAACAACGCGAATCACATTGGTTTGCATGCCATCTTTCCAGACTCAGTATATTTATACCATTTTTAAGCGAAAATAATGTGATGTGACACCCTGTGTACGGCTTCATAAACAATTTATAAAATAAGGAAAATATTTTATAAAAAAAATGCGAGAATTATAAAAATGGTTGTTGGATTTGACAGTCTTGTATCCACATACCGTAAACAAGTTTTTATTTCAATACGAAATATGTATAAACAAGTTCCCTCCGCAAGAATTTTTGAATGAAAACCCGACACCGTCCCAATAACACCTTGTCATACAACTTGAAGTACCTCAAACCACCGTTACCAATTGGTTGCATACCGTGAGAAATACGCAGAAAGAAGGAAAATAGACAGCTCTGCACCTTTAGCCCTCGCTCTTGAAGAGTTTTTTGCGGTACATCGAAATAAACGACAAGAAATGGATTCATTATGATCCAGCTCAACGATTCCAAATAATCGTCTATATGAACAATAAAGGAGCATCCATGAAGCATAAGTTGTTCTGTGTCTAGTGAGATGAGAAGGTTTTCTATAAACTACTGAATTAGACGATCACGCTGGAACGTTATGAAGAGTGCCCGAATTATTCGAACGAGACATTTCTAGTGAAATTGTCAATTTATGCAACAGAACGACGTGAAGTTGTTTTATTCCGTGGTAACACGAGATGCATTGCTTCTTGAGTAAAGCAAATGTTGCTTGATCTTCAAAGCAAAACCTCGTCCTAGCCAGCGTACTGTCGTTGGACTATCTATCATAAATCATTCCTGATTGTACTATTTCGCATTACATGTTATTACTTGATTACAACAATAATGCTTTTTCATATCGACTGAAATGCAATTTGAAATATTTGTTTCATGTCACAAGTTTATAATTAAATATAAACTGTTTCAATACATTCTTTATATATTTAACTTGTTTATTTCTTTCATTTTTTGTGCGGTAAAATATTTGAGTATTATTTTTGTGAAATCAAACTTATGTAGCTAATAACAGTTAGAAGTTATGAGTAAATTGGTGAAGATATTTGCGATATAAAAATTCATCGAAGACACAAGAACAGCTTGCGATATAACTTCAGAGATTGAAAGCACCGTTTTCAATCGGTTGCGCAAGATAAGGATGCAGGAGGAAAACAAAATGGGTGCCGCATCACTGGACCATATTATGGTGGACAGATTTGAACCACTGAGAGTTTTTTTTTATAGAAAATCGACACGTGATACGAAAAATGGTAATTATGGTAATTTTACACGCAGCAAGTTGTGGATAGATCCCAAACAATCGTCTGCATCGACGAAGGGCGCAAGATCCATGAACCATAAATTGTTCTTCTCCGTCCGATGAGATGAAAAGGTACTTTTTTATGAACTTCTACTGAATCAGATGATCATGCAGGAACGCTATAAAGAGTGCTTGAATTACTTGAACGAGATACTTCGACAGAAATTTGTAATTTACACAACAAAAGCAAAGTCATGTTGCTTTTGCTAGACGCCATGTTGCTTCTCGAGTGAGACAAACGGCACTTGATCTTCAAAGCGAAATACCGTCCTAACCAACGTACTCTTCTGACATTGGACTAATTAACATCAGCTTTAGCTAATGTATATGGTTTTCTCAATATACATATTCAATATAAAGACGATGTTCGCAAACAGGTGGATAACTTTATCGCCTTAGAAAATGAATTTTTATCGTCATGGCATCTGCGTGACTGAACCATGGTAAAATGCTAGTAAATTCAGAGGTCGAACGCCTCGATTGAAATGATGGTACTGCTTCTTATACAGGTGCTTCATAATATGCGAAACCACCTTCAGAAATAGACAGAGAACACAAAAACACTGCAGAAAGTTTGTTTAAATATGTGTCTGATTTGGCTTTGCTTCAGGGATGTCGTAATTTTTGTGTTTCAATAATTCTCGACAGCTTATTTTCCTGGAAGATGATCGAAATCTGCGGTTTGTGTTTTCAATGTTTTTGTATCCTCTCTCATGGGGATACAAATCTTG